TTCAGGTAGGAGTCTAAGCAGCTTATCTAAGATTTGAATCTAGTCTGTCTTCAAAGCATGTATCTGTACTTGTGAAATACTAATTTATATACTTTTTACATTTTTGCTTTCAGGAAAATTCCTACACTTCAGTATGTACAATTAAGTTTTCCACTTCTTTCTACCTCTCATGCTTTATTCTTTCTTGGCCTCTGGGATATGCAGCAATGAGTCTGTTTAAGGACAGTTTAAAGTTTGAAATAATGGGGCAGCCTGATATTTTCCATAAGTGATTGATTATTGCATAGTGGATTTTTAGTCTCAAAAAATTTTTTTCCCTTATGCACTACAAGTATGAGGAGTTAATCAAATAAATGATCTTGTCCTTTGGTATTAATCTGTACTCTAGAGGACTTCACATAATGCAGTTATGAACCATTGAACTCTGCGTTTTGTATCTTCCTTCTGAAAGCTGTTTTGACAATTCAAATTTAGAGCAAATATATCTTGAATTTGCAGGCTACGGCCACGATGTGCAGTGCAGATAACTAAAAACTCAAGTGACAGTTAGAAACTCAAAATTTCTAGGCCTTCTAAATTTAGCAAGGGCTCGACACTATTGAAAACCATAATGACGACATGTCTTTTTGCCTCCTGACTGTAATTTGATCTTTGCCATCTGCAGCTATCAGGCAACCAGGAAAAAGGCTCATCTAGTGTTATGAAGAATAATGACATTTCTCCAAAAGAAGTGCAATTTCCTCTATTTCTTAAAATATTTAAACTTTAAATAATATTTTAAAAATGAAAACCAGAATGTTGAAAAGGAGTTTTATCTAGTGACCTCACTTGAACTAATGCAGACATTAGTGCCCAGCAGTAAATGTCTAATGCCCTGCAGAGATGGGCAGTATCTCTAGGTGTAATGATAAAGCATTTAACAGGTATCATTTTGCTGAAATCTTCCTTCTGATAAAGCCTTACCTAGAATCCATTTTTCATTCTCAAACTTACGTAGTTACAGTTGAATGGAAAGAAGAATCCCACCTGGAGTACTGAACTTCCTTAAAATCACTAGCCTGAGAGCCTAAGATTCCTCGTGTCTCACTAAGTGGTTTAATTCTAGAGCCTAATGCTCTTTTTATTTAAGGGTCCAGAGTAACTTGCCACTAGAGGATGCTGTTGCTTCTTTGGTTCAGTTCCTGGAAGGTTCAGTTCTGACCTTTTCAATTTCAGTGCAGGAAAGAAAGAGCTTTACCTTTCCCAAATGAGTTTGTTCTTAAACCCCTACAGTTGGCTGAAGGTGTTGGAACAACTCAGAACAAAACAGAATGGTTAGTAAATTAAATAAGCTTGCTAAAATGACTTTAAACATCTCTCTGAGGTGTAGCAGAACAGCATACTGACATTATAGTGGCCTGAAACTTCACAAGAGGCCTTTTGGATGTTAAACAGTTTTTGAGATATTCCCAAAGGTAGCAAGTGCAAATGGGGAAAAGCTGGAGGATTATGGAGATGAGGAAAGGGCTGAGCCTTGACTGATGCTTCTCCAGCTTGGCAGAAATCTGCTTTCCCCCTTTTCTGGTTCTGTATCGGCTCAGACAACATATGTTACAGCGTGATCATTATCAGTTTTGTTAGGACTATAAAATCGGAAGTCATTGAGAAATTCTGAGTTGAAAAAATTAAAAGAATTACTTGGAGCAGAAACTTCAGAATACTTAATTTACAATGTGAACCTAACACTGGCCATTTGCTGAGTGTAGAATCTGTAAGAGTGGTTCTCAACTGTGGCTTTACTGTGGGAGACAGTTCTCAGAATCTGGGGAGATTTTTGGTTGTTGTGGGGAAGACGAAACATCCTCCATTGCCTGTGATGACCCCACTCTCAGGCAACAATCATCAGGGCTCAAATGAAAGTAGTTTAGAAGTTGAAAAATCTTGATCTATTTTATACACTGTTGCTTATTTATGCATGAATTTATTTCATAAAAAAAATGCCTTGCAATGCTAGATGTCTGTGGAAAATAAACCAGAGAACTCTGCCTTAAGTTTACCAATAATGGCACAATTGCAGAGACATGTTCTTCCTTCAATATTTATTCTTTCCACCTAATTTATTTGACCTCTCTTTCTTCAAATACTCTTGAATTGGTTTGTGGATACATTAGGATCTTCCTCTTCCATAACCATTCTCTGTCACTCCTTAATGACTTTGCTTTTTGTTCATTTAATGAGGTATTTCTTGTGGTTTTGTGCTTCATCGTAATCAGTCTCTACAAGACTCTTGTGCTTCCAACTTTATACTCTGGACAAATGGAATTCACATCTCCCCCCAAAGATCTACATTTCACTTATTTGTTGGGTGCTTCCCTGAAGTAAAAATGTTCCCTCTCCAAAACTATTTTTTTTCTCTCTTTGACTTTCTATTTTCCTTTCAAGGTGTTCTTAAATTCTTCCAATTCTCTTATTCAGTTTTGAAACCATGTTTAATCACTAGGCTTCTGAATCCTCTTGGTCTTTTTATCTCTTCTTTAAGGTGCTGATTAGATTACTGAAATAAATCCGAGTCATGCCTTTGGCTTCCCTCCTCACTCCTTCCATGTACCTGCACACTGCTCTGCTTCATTCATCCCAGGGCACAGCTTTGATTCTTTAAGAACTTTCAGTAGGCAAGTTCCCACCAACCTTTGAATAAAGTCCACACAGCTTGTTCTAGCAGTCAAATCTCACACACTATTACCCCTACCTATACTTAAGGCCTTGCTCTAGTGGCTCCAGTGTCTGGAATTCCTGACAGAAGAGATGCTCAGGTAAGGACAAAGGTGTGGAGGTGAAGATTTGCCAGTTATTTGTGGAAAGGGAGTTTTTGTAAATCTTGTAGAATTGAGAGCTTTTGAGATATTAAAGCTGAACAACTGAAACTTTAACTTATCACAGATTCATTTGAATCGTCTTCTAGATTAAGGATATTGTACAAATATGTTCTTTTATAGTATATTAGGAATGAAAGTACAGACAGATATAACTCAAAGATTCTACTTCACTAAGCTCATAGCCTATTAAACACCTTAGTATTTTTCACATGTAATATTTGCTGAAGGAACAAATTAGTAGCATGCATGAATAGATATTGTAGGAAATGCTGTTAGTGTCACACTCATATCCCCTCAGCACTCTAGTCTAGGTGACCAAAGCAATCATCACCTGCATATGTAACAAATATTTGAAACTCTGTACTTTAGGACCTTTTAATTCTAGTGCCTAGAGCAACCTGAAAGTAACAGACTCAGTGGATGAATGAAGAAGCCAACATCAGTAGCACACAGAGTATTGGTAGCCCAGTTTCCTTACCTCTTAGTTGGACTAACTTGTGACACAATCTGCTGTTTTCAAGGGTTTCTCACTTGGATTGTGCTCAAATTCTTCACAATCTTTTGCTCTGTGAAGCATCTTGTATTGATTTTCTTCTCAGTGTTGTATCTCCACTACCAACAGAACACTTTCGAGATCACCTCTCAAAACAAAACTAAACAAATGAAAATCTCTGAATATATTGGGGGAACCCAAACTAAAAGTGTTGCTGGATGTAGAGTTGCACATTGAGTAATTAAGAAGAATCTATGACAACTGGGATTCATAGTTGAATAATAGTATTTCAGGAATCAGAGCAAAATTTCCTCCACACAAGTTGCTAAGCATGTGAACAAAATATACAGAATCTTTGTATCTGGAAAACCCTCCATTGTTGGGGCATGTGATTATTTCTATTACCGAAGAGCTCTGGATACAGAAAGAAAAAGTCACTACAACTGGAAAGTATTCGCTAGTGGATTACTTATTTTTAAATTATTCTCAACTCAAATTTTTTTCACCTATTAACATTTAAGTGTACATTAGCCATAATGCGGTAGCAGCTTAATGCTTAATTCCAGTAGTAAATCTGAAATCTTACAAAAAATACAAACTTTAATAAAATCTGTGAAAATGATGTTAGCAAATGAGTTGATTCAGGGCCACAAACAAATGGAGATTTTCCAGAGATGGGGAAAAAACTGAAGAGAGAAAATGGAAATGGATGATGACTTTGACAAGACCTTTCCAACATGTAGATCTGAATATTAAGAGATTATAGGAAGTTCTTGAGAAAGTGAGTGATGCTCTGAAATATGTTTGCAACAAATGGTGCTCTGTGTGATTATTCTGTGTAAGGTAAGCACGGAAAACAGACATTGCACTTCATTAGGCTGTATTTTGTTTTGGGGAAATTTTCATTCCTGAGTGTTTTGTTTTCATTTAAATCTCCTATGGTTTGAATGTGACCCCAGAATTTCATGCATTGGAAACTTAACCCCCACACTCATGTTAATTATATTTGGAGGTGGAGCCTTTGGAAAGTAACTAGAATTAGATGAGATCATGAGAGGGGAGCATTGATCAATGGTTTTATAAACAGGAAGAGAGACTCAAGGTGGCATCTCTGTGTGATGCACTATGCCATATAATGATGCAGCAAGAAAGTCTTTACCATAGGTTAAGTAAACGCTGCCATGGTGCTCTTGGACTCCCACCTCTAGAACCATGAAGTACAAAAACTATTTAATAAAACCCTGGTCCCAAGTATTTTGTTATAGTAATGAACCAAGGCAAGCTCTTTTCCCTCACAAAATGTTTAATCTCCAACTCTGGTTTATAATGTTCTTTGAGAATATCATGGAAACATCTGCCCAGTTTAGCTGATTGAAACAGGAAGGAGGCTTATCCTTTGCCTTACCCAGAGTCACTTTTGGTTGGAAATCTCTTAAACACTGAACTGAGAGTACTTGCTGTCGTTCTTGATTTACAGATATATTTCTCAGAAACATATCTGTGTCTTCCAAATATTTCCAGCTGGTTGTAGCTAAAGCCTGTGTAATTGATAAGATGCATCTGGCTTCAAGGCACAGATGAAGCACAGAGAGAGGCTCTTTGTGTCCCTGGAGAATCTGGGTGGGGTAGGAGTGAGGTTTCAGGACTACTTGCTCTATAAAAGAGTGCTGAGACAATCTAGAGCAGGAGACACTGAGGGGACACTGCCTACTGTCCCTTCCTGCTGTTGAAAACTTACCAGACCCTTACAAAGGAAAATTTCCCCTTCTTTTATGCTCTGAATGCTTTTCCAAACATGAAGGTAAGATAATAATCTCATTACTTTTGTAAATGATGCTATCTCAAAAAGAAGGCAATACTTAACTATAAAAAATCAAATAAGGAGAAGGACATGGGAACTATAGAAGAAAATATCTGAAAGTAATTTTAAAAATTATTATTAAAATATATTTTAATAGTTCAGCCAAAGTGAATTTATTTTAATAGTTTGGCCAAAGGCAAGCACTTTTTCTTATTTTTTAGATAAAGTATATATTCAGATGTGTGGGAAGAGTGAACTGAAAACAGTGTTTATGAGAATTCTGAGAAAATAAAAAAGAAGTACAACAGTACTACTGTTATTTCATAGAGAAATTTTTTTCTTAGGGTCTTTGTTTTGGTTTGGAGACATGCAGTGAGGCTTGGGTGAACATTTCTAGGAGTTTTACAGGAAAGTGAATTTGCACACTTGAAGCTTTAGAATGTGAGATCCTGAATGAAAGAGTCAGGATTGTGACAGTAGAAGGCATAAGTAGATGGGCAGTGGTGAAGGTCAAGGGATAAAAAGGAAGGTTTACTGTATGTACATATTGGATCAGTGCAAAATGGCCATGTATTTTTAAAAATTACTATTCAACTAAAGATGAGACCAAAGCAGAGCTGGGGCATGATGATACCATTATGTAATCCCTGTACTCTGAAAGGCTGAGATAGGAGGATCACTAGTTAGAGTCCAATTTGGACAATTTTGCAATTTAGCAAGACCCTGTTTCAAAAAAACTAAAAGGTCTGGGGATGTGGCTCAGTGTGAAGGCTCTGGGTTCAACCCCCTTTCCCCCGACAAATACAGACCAAAGACAGAAATCACCTTCACAGACTTTTGTGATGCCCAAATAAATTCAATTTTTTATTATTTTAGATTTTGGTATTTAAACTTTAAAGATGTTTCACTGTAATAACTGGAGGAAGGATTTTGCATCCATGTTAGCTGGATTATGTCTGCTTTCATATGCTTTCCATTTGCTGTACAGATTCATACTCACTCTCTAATGGGAGGAGAAGAGGAATAAGATACAGGTCTTGAATGACCTTTACCTTATATGGAATTAAACAATTAAAAATTAAACACACACTCATAAGTTAACTTGTTTAACGTTAGGTGCTACACTACTAAGTAGACTTACAAAGTTAGAGTTATACAGTTTAATCCCTATTACTCTACCATGTATTTCTACTTAAAAGTTTGGAATATTTGCAATCTCCAAAAGAATGAGATGCTCTCACTAAAGTCATCTAGCTAACATTTCTTCCTAATATTTATATTAACTGTCAATCAACTTATTTTATGAGGAGACATCTTAATAATTGTTTTGTGCTTGAAAATGTATTTCACATTCATTTCTGGATATTTTAATGTCACAATAAATATGCTTTTATACTTTAATTGGTTGATAGAATACCAACAACAAAGCAATGGTTTTACCCTAAATTGCATGCCAAATCCCTACCTATATTTGAAAACAGGTATTCTTATTTTTCAAGTAAACTGGAAAGACTATGTTTTTAGGAAAGAACAATTGAGAAAGTCATCGACTCTTGAGAAACTAGAAATGGCTTCTATGCCTGGCCTTTTTAAGGAGAATAATCCTTAGCTTCCTCTTCTACCCATGTAAATTAATTCAGAGAGATAATTTCAGAATCCCCTGTGAATCTTTCAATGCCTCTTTTATGGTAGATAATTTGGGTCTGAGATGTTTGAGAAGGACTTCAAAACCAAGGAAGCTTTTCCTTAGCTGCCTGTTTTCAGCCATTTATGATGTTTCCCTGGAACTGAATTCAGTCAGGAATCTGTGAGGCATGATCAGAAACAGTGATGCTCAAATGAGGGCTGTAGTTGGAACACATCAGAAGTATCAGGTAGAGTTACAACTCATCCAGGAGTGAGAATGGAGAGAACTAGGAGGCTGTAGTTCCAGCTGAGTTACGCTGACACAGTACAAAAATACTCTGTCTTATCATCTAGTTAATTCTAAGCTACTTCTTTTGTAGAGTCAACTTGTATCTATCTTTGTCATTCATGTAGCTGCTTATTTCCTTGTGGCTATTTTATCTCCCTTATTTATACATGATATTCTTTCTCAAGGAAAGGAAAAATAACTGCTTCCGTTTCAGGATCATAGCCAAAAAAGTTTTTAGATTTATTTTTGTTAGTAGAGTCAGCTTGTATAACTCATGAGTAGAACTGGCCTTTCAACAAACACACCTTGATGGATTAAAAAAAAGTAAGTGTATGGGGAAGCTGATGGCTAAGATACCTATGATGAAACGTTTATTCCCTAAAATTTGGTTGAAATTCTTTTACAGTCATCTAATGAGCTGGGATGGTGGTGGGAGACTAAGGTAGGAGAATGGTGAGTTTGAGGCCAGCCTGGGATACATAATGAATTTATAGTCAAAGACCTTATTTCAAAAAACAAAACAAAACAAACACTGCATCTATCTGGATATTAAAAATGAGTGTTTTCATGATGCATGTTTTAGCTGAGTCAAAAACTATGAGTAATATTCAGGACCCTCAGATTTTAAAATGAGATGTTAGAAATTGTATGCAATATTATAAAATAAAAAGTAACCTTAAATCTTTCTGGTGAATCTCATAACATCCCCAACTCAACACTATGCAAGCTTGAGTTCTTTGAAATACGAAGAATAAAGAGAATGATACTCGATGCACATTTGGGGAAAAATGAAAGGCACAGGCCTGTCTTCAGTAGAGTAGATCAACTCAGCAGCTCTGAGTGCAACCTGGACATTCAGGGTCTGGCAGGACAAGCATATGTACAGGTGTCCTATGAACCAGGAATGGACCTTAACGGGAGATAGTTGGACAAGTTAGCAAGACCCTGTTTCAAAATAAAGAATAAAACAGGACTGGAGATGTAAGGACCCTGGGTTCAATACCCAATGACACACAAACACACACACAGAGAATCAGGTTTGGGTAGTCAAGATGTCTGCCTGAGAGACTGACCATAGACAGGATGCAACAACCCAACATGGGGGATCAGCACAGAAAGCACTCCTAGAGGGCAGGCACTGTTGAACGCGGAGTGATGGTGTGAGGGCGGAGTGCTTATAGCTCTCCAGTAGGGAGACCATCAATAACAGCAAAACACCTCAAGAGATAAAGAGCCAGCATTCAGACAGCTACTCTCTGTTTTACCATCACCAGATTCCTACTGGATCAACCAAGAAAAATCTTTTCTGACTGCTGTTTTGACTTGGAAGAAGACAGGCAGCTTGAGCAGTGGTGACAGGAGTAAGGTGGAGGATTTTTGATGTGGGCCCCATACTTTCCCTATGAGATGCACTCAGAAGCTAGACTTGAGAAATTTAAAATCAATGATGCACTGAAGTTTGAATACTAGGTTCTCTGGAAGTTTTAGTTTTTAAAACTATGACTGTTTGTTAGTGCCTAAGGGTGATGAGTAAAATTCAGAGACATGCTTTCTAAGAGAAAAAAAAGTTGCCATAACACAGAATGAAAGTACATAGAGAACCCATATAGGTTATAAAGTTTTAAAAATATCTTAAACATTATATGTTTCACATTTCTTTTAAAGGAAAAAATGTTTGTATACTTCATTGATTACTCTTTTCTCTGTTGTCCACAGTTCCAAAAGCCAGAAGGAGGCAAGTAGGATTTTACAACTAAAAGGAAGATATCAAATTAGAGGGTGTGATCTAGGAAGGCTAAGGAAAGAGTCTGGAAAAAATGTTAGAAACTCTATAGGTGCAATGAGAGAAAAGATGTTTGGGTAGGTAGAAGACAAAGATACTGGCCTCTTGAAATGCGGGATGATTCTAAGACTTTTAAAACCGCCTTGTGATCTGAATGGGTGTGATATTCTTAGAGTTACCAGTGAAGAGTTTAATTATGCATCCTTACCTTCGGTTGTCAGTAAAAGTAGAATAGATATAAATAAAAATGAGATAATGGAAACTACCTATAATTTCACAACCAGAAATAAACTATTATCCTTTGTTATATTCTTTCTAGATTTGTTTTTTAAGACTCATGTGAGTTTTCAAATGAAATATAATCACATCTTACATGTATTTTTGTAACTTGTCAGATCCTCAATATTTAGGCTTGTGCTACCACATAGAGCTGATTATAAAAGGCCTCAGGGGTGTTTGAAGCTCTGAGGGAACCACCCACAGTACTAAGGAATAAGATGAGAGTCACCGCCCCCTGCCTACAGTTTATACCTCAAAATTTGATTACTCAATCACAGAGTTCCTTTCCCTTTTAACTCTTCAGGCTTCAACACTGCTGCTCTTTCCAGGCTTTCTCTTCCCTGTAGGTGTCCCTGTGGTGGCTGAAGTTAGGGAGGGAGCAGTGGAGTTAGGGACGGAACAATGCGGACACTCTAAGGAAATTCCTGAGGTCATTTAAATTGATGGAGTGTTTTCAGTTTGCTTGCCTACGCATCATCCAGTCCCTTCCTGTTGCTACAAAAATGAATAGTAGGAGACATAGGCCTTAGAATTACATAGAATTTTACCTTCCAATTTTCCACTTGTTAAATTAAAAGTAAAAGTTGTGCATACCTCACATACTTACATTTGTGGTGGGAACACTTACAAAATCTTCTCTCGGGTAGTTTTCAAGAATATGTAACATTATTATATAATAAATCACCACGTTGTACAGTAGATCTATCCTTTAAATGTACTCTTCCTGTCTAACTGAAATTTTATTCTCTGACCATTATTTCCTCATCACTCCATTGTTCTCAGCTGCTGGTAATTCTATTTCTATAAACTCAACAGTTTTTAGTTCCACTTATAAGTGAGGTATTATGTGATATTTCTATTTGTGCTTGGCTTATTTTGTAAGATAATGCCCTGTGGGTTCATTTGCATTATCGCGGATGGCAGGATTTCCTTCTTTTTAAAAGGCTCAATAGTATTCCATTGTGGGGCACATTTTCTTTCTTTCTTTTTTTATTTAAAGGAAAAAAACCCAAAACAGTATAAGGATACAAGTAATACCGAATTTCAAAAAACAAAACAAAACAAAACAACAGTAAGAAATCACTAGTTAATAAATTACATACTGTCATCTTAGAAATAGTTATTCAAGTTATAGGATTAAAGCATACAAAGTGGACATTCAAACAGTGAGACTCCAGACAGTTGTGTTCAGTGATCCAACAAAAACTTAGTAATATGGTCATCTATCTTAACACACCTAAACACACTTACAGTTGTAATTCTTTTTCTTTTTCTATGGTGCAAGTATTGTACTTCCATTCCTTTGCTTAGAAAATATTTTATCTGTTCATTCAGTGACAGACACTTAGGTTGATTTTTTATTTTATTTTATTTTACTTTTTGATACCAGAAATTGAACTCAAGACTTCCCTTTTGCCAAGCAGGTACTTACACCACTGAGCTAAACATCCAACCCCTGATTTTCTATTTTATTGAGAATAAAGCTGCAATGAACACGAAACTGGAGATGTTGCATCCACATACTGATTTAATTTTCTTTGGATACATGCACACTAGTGGAATTCCTGGGTCATATGGTAGTTCTATCTTTAATTTTTAAAAGAACCATCAAACTTGTATTTGATCTGGTGTCTTAAAAGAAAAGCAGTCACTTAGGTTTTTACATGGTTCTTTCACTTTTTATATTCCAAACCTAGAAATCAGTAATTATACAAATGTATTAGTTTTCAGCTCATTAAAAAGGAAAGCTTTGATATATATATGTACGCATACCAATTCCCCATGATGCATGTATTTGCTGTATATTTCAAATGCATACTAATTAAAAAAGGGAAAAAAATGAAAGCTAAAATATACCTTTAATGCTTTATTGTTTTTCTTCTCCAGGTAATAAGCTTATTTATTTTGGTGGGATTTGCAGGAGAGTTGCAAGTTTTTTCAAGGTGAGAACATTTTGATTGTGTGTAGAAGCCATTAAAAGTATTAATTTTGTATGGAAATTTTTTAGTATGATGTAAGTTTCACATGACAGCTTGAGCATGTTTATCCCTCCAACATATTTTGTTTTTCTGTATTTTTGGAAAAGGCAATAATAACAAAAATGTGCTTTATTCTTATTCTTATATTGGCTTTTTTTTTCCTCTGTAAAGCAGATAGTTGAAGACTAAAAATACCTACAAGCTTTTGCCCCAGTGCTGTGGCTTTATCTGTGATTCAGAGAATCCCGCTTCCTAGAACAGCACTTGAACTTTGAATGTAATCCTTATGAAACATTCTCTGGGTTTCAAAGGTAGAGAATATTTTAAGAAAATAGATTTATTCATTCTTGAGATCTGTAAAAAAAATACCAGAATCATTTCCTGAGGTGTGCACGCTGCAGAACGGGGTTTCTTTCTTTCAAGGTAATCTGACTGCCTCACAGTACACAATAGTCCATTTGGCTTAAGACATCTACTATTTGCAAATGTGCTAGGAATCCAGAAATTGGGACTCCTGATTTCTTTATGTTTTGTCATGTCTTCCTCGGGCTAAGCCAGGTGTTTTCCATAGCTTGTATCATAACGAGGGTCAACCTTCCATTTCCGCAAGTCCTTTGAGTGGAATTGTTTAAACTCACATTGCCCCACTTGGTGTGTGTTTGACAAATAGCCTAAGTGAACATGGGGAACATTTAAACCAAAATTACCGTTTAGCCTCTGCTAGTTTTTAAGTTTCCTACATCTGACAGAGCCATCTGTTTTTCAGCTTTTATTTTATATTACTACACATTCACATTATGTAATGATTACATTTTTATGGGGAGTTAATATATGTACATAACACATCTCAATTCTTTTTTTCATCCTCTTTCTTTCCTTTTCTTTCCCCTGCCTCCATCTCTTTTTTTAAATTTCATTTTATTTATTTATTTATTATTTATTGTCTTTTTGAAACAGGGTCTCACTGTGCAGTTCAGGCTGGCCTTGAGTTCACTTTGTAGCCCAAACTGGTCTCAAACTCACAGTGATCCTCTCAAGTGCTGGGATTAAAAGTGTGAGCCACCACACGAGGCACTTTTTTTTTTTTTTTATTCTTTTAAAGAGAATGAAACAAAACAAAGCTAAACAGAACAAAGCAGATCAGAAGAAAACAATGAAAACAGCACAGGACTTCAAAACAAGACAACGGGAAATCAATAGTGGTTACATAATGTCTGTTTTCTTCAAAACAGTTGCTAATATCTTCATGTACAATGAATTCAAACAAAAGAAGATAGTATGAAATGGATCAAAACAAAAGAACAAAAGCATTACAGGCCTTCAAAACTAGACAATAGGAAAACCAACAATGGTTACCATGATGTCTCTTAAAGTTTTTTTGGTTGTTTTCTTTGATGTTCAGAAATTTTTAAAATTTAACCTCATTTGTTTATTCTTGGTATTACTTCCTGTGTCACTGGGGTTCTCTATGCCTGTGACTCCAAGAGTTTTACCTATTTTCTCTTCAACCAGTTAAGTTTTTCTATTTTAACATTTAGATCTTTGATCCACTTTCACAGGGTAATCTTAGAGTTTCCTGTTTCTCATTTAAACTTTTGGATAACTCTTTGACTCATCATTTATAATCCCTTCACATGCCTAAAACCTTTTATCTGTATGTTCTCACCTATGTCTCCAACTCTATGAACACTCTCTGTCTCTATTTCTATAACACCTTAAGTTGTGACATCCATTATGAAATTTATTAAATATGTTTAATATTGTATTTTTATTAGTTACTTGTACATCCACGTTTCTGCTATTCTTTCTATTTGTGGCCAATGATATATCCTTTTTGTTATTTCTACATAGCTTGATAGTACCATGTATATAACAGATGTTTGCTTACTGTTAATCTTTAATAAAATGAGTTTCTTTTCCTCTGTTTTAATATATCTTAGGACACTTTCAGAATCTCTTAGGAAAACACCTTTAAAGAGTTTGGATTATTTTGTGTGTGTTTTGTGACTATTTTTGATCATTTTTGTGTGTTATTTATGTGCCCTTGCTTGTCTGTCCAACTGCTTTCCAATGGATACTTGGACACTGGGACAGTGTTTCCTCTCCAATTGACTGCCAGTGGAATCCGTACGGCCAGTGGACAGAATGCAACGGCTGCACCAAGACTCAGGTAGGTCTGGCTAACATGGTATTAGCTTTAGAATATGCATTAGTTAGTGTTAATGTTTGTTGGAAATTATTGTAGGATTTTGAAGGGAGAAAATTATGGCATGTTTAATACTTATTATTATAATGATAACACTCATTGTTCTTGAGGACCTTCCTGAATTTTTAAAAATTATTTTTCACTGAGGGGTACCAGGGTTTGAGCTCCTGACCTCACACTTGCCAGGCAGGCGCCGTGCCTCTGAGCTATGTCCTTGGCTCTACTTTCTTGAATCTTGACTGTGACTGGCAATGTACAGAGGCTAAAAGTTAAAGGCCACTTACTAGTTATTAGATAAATTGGGATACCATGAAATAGAATTAGGAGAAATTCAAAATCTTTTTTTATTCACTGGTTTCAGCCTTTTTTTCTCATTTCAAGCCAACACTAGCAAATAACAAAATGACTGCTTTAGGTTTCTTCTCAAATAGTGAACAACCATAAAAAATCATTTTGCAATGTTTTAAAGTTTAATAATAAATACAATAATGATTGTGCTTGAATAACACAAATGTTAGAATTGACCTTATTATAAGTAATTATAAAAAATGTCCTTTCCCTTTATAAAACATTCAACAAAAAACTAAAATGTAAATAAATAATACAACAGTCAAAACTGGGTTATGAGCTAACAATGGTAGTGCGTGCCTCTGATTACAGTACTTGGGAGGCTGAAGTAGGAGGATTATTGCAAGTGGGAGACCAACTTTGGCTACAATGTCAATTCAAGACCAGCCTGAACTGCATAGTGAGATCTTGTCTCAAAAAGACCAAAAAAAAAAAAAAAAAAAAGCTTCGTTATGGAACATTTCTGTAATCCCAGAATCCCAGCACTTGGGGGACTGAGGCAAGAGGAGTGCCATGAGTTTGTGGTCAGCCTGGGCTACATAGTGAGGTCAAGGCTAGCCTGAGCTACATAGTGAGATCCTGTTTTTAAACAAAAGAAACAAATGAATGTCCATACTTCTTTTTTTTTTTTTTTTTTTCTTTTTTGGTACTGGCTATTGAACTCAAAATCTTGCACTTTCCAGGCAGACGCTTGTGCCATGAGCTGTATCCCATGTCCCAGTCCTACTTCTATTGAAAGAAACAAATCTGTCAGCATTTTGGTGTTTATTCTTTCAGCTCGTTTTCTTTCTGTTGCTAATTTTTAAAAAAGAACTATTACATCATGGGTTTTCATTATACTATTTGAACCTAACTCCACTTCACTTTACATTTTTACTATGATCTTATGCACATGTATCAAAATTATTCACTTCCTGTTATTTCATATATAGGTTGTTGCTTCCATTTTTTATTATAAATAAAATTTTACTGGGCATTTTTGTACATATATAATCATCCTTTTTTCTCATAATTCTCTCTGTATAAATTCTTAGAAATACAATATTTACTTTAAAATTTCCAATCATTTGAATGGTTGAACTGCTTTAAAATGTTTAATTTGATATATATAATATTATATATAATATGTGTAATTTTAAATCTTTAAAAAACAAAATTATATAAGAAATAACTTGAAGGATTGTCATTTCCCTCAAATTTTTACTTCGTTCTTACATGTGTAGTATTTTTCAAAACAAGTTACACAATAAAGCATTTGTTTTCTAGCAACTGTAGATGACAACACTGGTTCCAGGGACAAAGGTACATGAGTAATGAAACAAAAGTCAAAGAGACACCAAGCACATAAAATACTTTTATAATTTGTAAATGAGAAAGGACTCTCAAATAGAGAGAAAGAAAGCATTTTTTCACACAAGTAATTTTTTTCTTTGAGTGAAGGTCAGCATGCAGTGGAGATGCTCCCAGATTATAACAACAATTTTTTATTTTGAAAGAGATGGGTGAAAATGAAAAAGGGTCATAAGAACAGAATCTGACAGGTGATAATGAGCCTATTGAGGGTGGGCAAACTGGAAGGGCACCCTGATCATACAGAAGGCAAACACTCCCTAGACAAACATCACCATCTGTGCTTTGGGACCTCAGAAAAGAACATATTGATAACTCACATTTGAGATTCATCTTTATCAATTTAAAACAGAACTGAACATGTATCAACAATCGTGCTGTATTCCACTCCTCACTCATGGTTCCTCTGCTTGGACACAATGAAAGAAGTCAGGGCTCGGATCCAGCTAATGCAAATGGACTCAGTTCAAATTACAGTTCTGTTACCACTTGTCCCAAGGAATCTGTATTTCTAATTCAATGTACGATGGCTGAGTAAATCCTAACTCCATCTTCATCTTCATCTCTATTCCTAGTACCCTTAATATCCCTCCGCCAAAATTCATTTCACCTTTTAAAATTAACTCTTGGGCAAGACAGTAATCCACTTATAGCAGAAAATGGTCCCCAGCCAGTATACTTCAGTTTCTGGTAGTTTCTTTTGCCCAAGTACCCTCCAGTTTACTTCAGTTCCTTTTGTTTGCTTCTGTTACTCCTGTCTCCAGAGACGGCTGGTCACTGTGATGCACATTGTAAGAGCCAATCCCCAGATGACAAGCACTCTGCCTCTGTACTTCTGCTTTGCTCCCCCATAAAAGCCTCCCTCCCTGAGCCTTCAGGGCTCGACTTTTTTGGGAAGGATCCAGGTTGGATCCTCCAGCAAAAATAAAGCTGATTCTTGCCTCCAAATTTCAGTGCTGCTTGGTTCTTGTTCATGGCTCTACTGTTACACATTCTGTATTGTAATCTACTTGCTTATGTGTTTACATGATTAACCTTGTTTCTTTCAAGTTTCCTTCCTTCCTTTCTTCCTTCCTTCCTTCCTTCCTTCCTTCCTTCCTTCCTTCCTTCCTTCCTTCCTCTCTCTCTCTCTCTCTCTCTCTCTCTCTCTCTCTCTCTCTCTCTCTCTCTCTCTGTCTCTCTCTTTCTTTTTGAGACAGGGTCTCACTCTTTACTTCAGGCTAGCTTTGAGCTCACTTTGTAGCCCAGGCTGATATCAAACTGCCTTAGCCTCCCAAATGCTGGAATTATAGGCGTGAGCCATCACACCCAGCTCAAATTATGCTTTCAAAGATTCACTAAAAAGTGTTTTTCACTTAAACCAGAAAGTTTGCTTTCAATGACACTTAGATTAGTACTTCTAAGAAAGCTCCTAGGAGCTCTAAGTGTCATTGAAATCAAGGACAGGAGAGTCTGTGGGTTTAGTAATCTTACAGGTTTTCTGTAGCATGCAAGCAAAATTTCACGGACATTGTTTCTCAAATTGAATTAATTTTTCTTAGATTTTGTTACTCAGAAAAAGAAAATCGGCGGTAATTACAACCAAAGACATCACCCGTTTTGTGCTTAGACTCGCAGGCGGACAGTTGCTGTTTATGGACAGTTTGGGGGTCAAAATTGTACTGGAAATGCTTTTGAAACACGATCCTGTGAACCCACACAAGGGTGTCCAACGGAAGGGGGCTGTGGAGAGCGTTTCAGGTGTTTTTCAGGTAATCTGTCTTTCAGAGGCTCAGCTTGCAGACTTCAAATTCCAGCGCTATTTGTTTAATTTTCTCCATATAAAACTGTTGAATTTCACTGAAATTCAATTGACCTCTACATTAATCTCCTCCAAATATCAGTAAGATTTTTGAGGGTATAGATCATCACACACTTAACTATCATTCCTCCAAGCACAAGGGAGGCATCTGATTCCGAAGGCTGTGATGCTCTCCGGCTCTGGATTGAATGGCTCTGTACCTATTAATAGCCAAACTGTTCTTGCTTTTGTGTTTCTGTTGAAGATGCAGAGGCAGTGGTGTATATACCTGAGGTTGAGCAGAAACAGTGTTCCTATAGCAATTATTATGTTTATAAGAAAAGTAATTAGAACTAAGTAAGAAGCAAGAGAGGTATGATTGAAATATACAGTGAATATTTAAATAAAATTTCATCATAATAAAAGACACATTGAAATGAATCCGCCTCAAAATACACCCCTCATTTCAAGCACACTAATCCCCTTGTTATTTTTTTCTTTTATAAGTACATATTTGTGATGCAGAGCGAATGCTTCATGGACAACTAGTACAAACACTAATCTCATCTTAATTTGTTTTATTTCCTTCCCCTGCCCTTGTTCTTGACACCTTCTGAATCAGTGTCTTTATGAGGTGTGCTCAGAAATATGGTGAACGCTGAGGCTAAGTGCTATTTCACAGAAAGCTAGGTTCACAAACACATGACAGTGTTTTCATCTACCTTGTTCACTAGATCTGACACTGAGCAACTTTTAGTTCTTCCTCAAAATCAAACTGATTTTGAAAGGTTACTATTTTAAGTTGACTCAGAGCCATGGAGGCAAAGTCAACAGTGCACCTAATGACACTGATGCAAGAGGCTATTCAGAACTGCTACAGAATGTGGCAAGAATTAGGGGTAAGTGTGTCCAAAGTGAGGGGAAACATTTTGAAAGAGATTAGTGGCAATACGTTTTTTAACTTAATATTTTTAAATTTTTAAATTGATTCTTTGTTATTTTAAAATGAAGAAACAATAAAGATGATTCATAATCTCAAAGCAAAGTAATAGGCAATTAGTAATGGTTAATATATTGTACATTGTTAGCTTCAAAGTAGTTGTTCAGATTATAAGATATGGGCATAAAAAGGCCACAGAAAAAACAAAATATAAAAGAAAAGAACAGTTAGTGATCATATTGTTTGATTCATTTTGCATGATTTTTTCTGTAATCTAAGCATCTCTTTTGAAGATAATGATATGCAATATAACAACACTTGCTAAATTCCTATCATCTTGTTTTAAAAACCTGTATCACTATTGTTTTGGTTTGCTTTTGTTGTTGTATGTTTCTTTTATGTTTGTTTTTTTCTGTGATCTTTTTCTTTCTCTTAAAATTAAAAAAAAGAAAGGTGGGAAAAGATTATATATGTGTGTGTGTGTGTGTGTGTGTGTGTGTGTGTGTATGTGTACAAGACAGATAACTATACTATTAGTCTCTGTTAGTTCATCAAAAAGAACGGTTTGTGCTTTCATTGTTTGTTTGATCCTTTTTTATGCCCATATCTTGTAATCTGAATAACTACTAGTTAGTGATTCTAGAAAGAAAAAAAGTTGGAGGGCGAGAGATCAATCAATTTCCTGTAGTTAGCAGCAATTGGGTTTTGGAGGATTTAGATAAAATTGTTTGATGGTAGTGGGTGAGGATTTGAATTTTGATTTCAGGCCATAATTTTGTTTTTAATTTTGCTTCTGACCAAGGTGAAGATCTGTTCCGTATGCTGCAAAGTAGAGAGCAAAATAATTACCTGTCAAACCCTAGACATTCTGAGGACTTATCTCACCTTTATGAAAGTGTATTGGTGCAGCGTTGGGGTGAGGGAAAATGCTTTTTGACCCCAGGCTGCCTTTTCCTTCTCCTCTCTTTGTATTTGCACGGGATTTCCCCCCCATTGTGTTCAGGTCAGTGCATCAGCAAATCTTTGGTTTGCAATGGGGATTCTGACTGTGAACCAGATGGAGCTGATGAGGACAGATGTGAAGACTCAGAAAGCAGACCTTCCTGTGACATTCATCAGCCTCCTCCCAACATAGAACTTACTGGCACTGGGTAAGATGCTGAGTAGATTGGGTGTATCAGTGGGTTCTAATTTTTAATTTTGTTTTCTCTCATAGTTTTGTGAGCCTAATAAAAACTGGATCAATAAACAAGACCTTTTAGTGGCTCAAGCTCTTTGCCACATCCTAAACCAATCTTTAAAATTCATATCTGTTTACCCGTAGATATGCGTAGTAAGATGTAGCATAACCCATTGCTCTGGGATGGTCTGGTTTTGGTCCTGAAAGACCAGCATCATTCCCAGTGAAATCTGAACAGTTGGTCATATTATGGGAGCAGACAAGGGAGGTGGGACAGGGGAGGGAGAGACAGACAGACAGACTGACTGATTATTCAAGATAGTGATGACAGAATGAGAGTGGAAAGAGAAAAACAAGAATGTTGTAACCAGGCTAAAAAGTGATTGCTTAACCTAGTTGACAACCTTCATTTCCAAGAAAGGTTGGGAAAATTCTGTGTTTGCATTTTAGAAACAAATTCCAAGGACATTTTTGCATCAGCTTACCTGAAGTAAGCTTTAATTTTATTTATTTTATTTCATTTTATTTTTGTCTCTTTGAGGCAGGATTTCACTATTGACTTTGAATTCACTTCGTAGCCCTTGTGGGCTCAATCTTGCAACTATCTCTTGTCCCAGCCTCCCGAGATCTGGAGTTACAGATGTGCGCCATCACACCTGGCCTATTAATTAAGTTTTTAAGGATATAAAATACTTTATTTTGATTAGATTTGAATTTCCTGTAAAATTTTAAAATTTATTATCAGAAATAGAATAAAGTTACGTTAAGGAGTGTGCTATTCAGCATATTCAGAGATGATAAGCTTTCTTCTAGAGTAACCTTAATCTTATTGATTTCACCTATAGACTCAGTTCAAAACCAGCTGTTGCCATAGATACAACAAGCCTGCGTATTACAAAAATATGCTGTGAGGCTGAAAGGACGTTGGATTTTCCCAGCCATTAGTGTTGGCGATTATGCCAAGCAGGGGAAGTTGGATGATACATGGTGTGCACTAGCACGCTGCTCTTATTTTTGCTTTCTCACAGAAGTACTTAACAGCAAAGTATTTTAAGAACTTCCGGAGTTCTCTAATGATTTTTTCCCCAGCAACTACTATTTCTGGTTTTTAACTGATTTTTCTTTCCCCTTGCTGCTCCTTCTCCTCCTCCCTTAACAGTTATAATGCTCTCACTGGTGAGTTTAAGAAGGGAGTCATCAATACCAAAAGCTTTGGTGGCCAGTGTAGAAAAGTGTTCAGTGCGGATGGAAAGCAATTCTACAGATTGAGTGGAAATATCCTTTCTTACACATTCCAGGTACTTAATTACATCAATACAGTTGATTTCTAATCCACAGATTGTCAGATATTATTTATGTGATTTCATTTTTTGGTGATTGGTGAGGATTTACTTATATTATGCAAAGTGACCAACCTGATTATAAAGAATCACTTTTTAACTGAGATACAGGACAACAACACTTTTAATTGGTAGGTTGTCATGCGAATTGACTCCTTTCTCTCCTCCTTTTCCTCTCTTCTTGCTTTCTTCCCTCTTCTCTGCTTGTGCTTCTCAAATGCTTTTTCTGTCAGACACAACTAAATTCAATCTTGTTCCCTGTTATCAACACAAAATCTGCTCACACAAACAGTAACGACATTATGGGACATTTTTGAAGATCTGGAGAGAAGATAGATGGAAGATTTTCTGCTGCAGTAGTGCAAACATGTTCAGGCTGTTCCTACTGCTGCTCCTCTCCTTTCCCGTCTCATACCAGCCTTTGATCACCTCACAAAGTCAAGTTTCTGGTCTTACTCTGTTTTCTCATTCTTGTTCTCCTTGCCGAGATTCCTTCTCTCATTTTTTCTTCTCCACTCATCTCAGAACCAAAATTTTCAGTTCAGCTCTCCTTATATATGACTTCCAAATTTTTAAACTAAAACTACAATGATGTTCCAACAGAAGGGCCTTTTGTCTACTGAGATTAAACCTCTCTAGCAAGTAGCTTTGGGTATAAATAGCAAATTCACCATCCTCTTATGTAAATACTTCTCATTTAACAACCTACCTCTTTGGCAACTGCTCAGATTTTCATCCAAGTCACGCTTTTATATGTATGATCCACTGCTCAGATTTATGACTTGCATTTGGATTTACAATGCTAAAACATGAGTGGCAGTGTGGCTTTATGGTGGCTTCTACAGTACAGAACTGTAATTTTTGCTGAGTACTGTACATTACTGTAGCTTTATGTTCTTTTATATAGTACTGCATGTAAGAGTTATGCAAATAAAGGCAAAGTCATCATATTGATGTTTCCTTTGACCATTTTTTGCTCCAAATATTACAATGTACATCTTATATACAATTTCCCATCTAGTGACCAATTCATTTAACTATCCAGTCACAGGAATGGAACTCATTTGTTAAGTGAGAAAGGTCTATAAAATACTGTAGTTACATTTAAGAGCTACTGAAACACAAAATAAAATGTAAAGCTGATCTGAAAAATAACTGTGACTACCAAGTTTTGAGTATCTACCATGGATTCTGCTCTGTTGTAGGCAGTGGAATAGTTTAATCATTATAATAGCCTGTGAGGTAAGTAGTCTTTTACTTTTTTGTGGATATGGAAGTTGAGACTCAGAGAATTTCATCCAATTTACTCCAAAGTCATCAAATCAGGAATAGTAAAACACGTATCCAATTTGTCAGATTTTGTAGTACTTTATTTTTCTATTACATCTTATTCTTTCCATGGACTGCATTGAATTTCTTTTTCAATTTTAAATTCTACATGTAAATTATATGTATTATAATTTAAACAAAAAGGTCAGAAGGGAGAATGTGAGATATGTATAAGTATGTAATTTTTCTTCCTCTGTTCCTAGAACGATATATTGCTAATTCTTTTGCAATTATAACCGGAAGAGTTGCATGTAAATTTTCTGAAGGGTCAGATCTGGGAAGTTACAGAGGAGAGGAAGTAGAAAGGAAGAGCATTTCTTACTTACCTGAATAGAGATACTAAAATTCCATAGTTTCTGAAGAAGCGGAATAATTTGATAACAGTGTGATTCTGACGTTCATTTGCCTCAGCAGGATTTGGTTTGGGTTGGCATCTAAAATGCCTTTTCAGTCACCAAATGTGAGGGTGTTTGTCAGAGTAGTGGGAAATTATAGCCTGTTACTGAGCAGCTCGAGGGAAGAGAAATGGAAGCAACAGGCAGTGAGTCAGTTATTCAAGTGCTAAACCCAGATACAAATACAGAAGCAATAAATGTCTTCTATAGTTCACATAAATCGACCCAGGGCCCACTATGGACTCACATGTCTACAATGAGGAAGGCGACTTATTAGTAAATAAACACGAAACTGAATGAATGCATCTCTTATCTCTTGCCTCTGTTTTTACCATCAGCATTGTGAGGTTGCTTCTGTCATTTTGTTTTTAGGGCAAACCTTGTTTCTTCTTGGGTAAACAACTTCCTTGATGTCAGGCATGTTTTCTGCTATACTTGTATTTTTTGCACAACAAGGAAGGTCTTTGAAACCTCAGCACATTCCTACTCCGTGTTTGCTTGGGAAAGTGCCGCTCTGCTTATATCAGCCTGAGCGATACCTGAGGGTTCTTGCATTCATTGTCCGCCTGGGATGAGTTACAGATGGGTTTGAGTTAAAGCTTATGTAGGAGAAACTTCTTGGATTTTCCTACATTTGATCATGAATGTACTTCAAGACTTTTTTTAAAAAGAGAGAACCCAGACAACATACCAAATGGTAGGAAGGATATATTATAAATGAAAATTTTAACTAAGGCTACATTACCTGAGCTTTTGCTTTCTCTCTTGGCATGAAGACAAGATCACAGATTTCTAAACTTACTTTTTAACGAGAAATAATTTGTCATGATAGAAACAGTTTACGAAATAGCCTTTGTGTACTAAACACTGCTCAAAAGTTTCATGAGTTTTTTTTCCTTATACAGGTTGAGTATCACTTATCTAAAAATTCAAAGTTGGATATGTTCTAAATCTAAAACCTTTTCACTGACATGAAGCTGATGTGCAAAATTCCACACCATGAAATTTTTTAACACACAAAACGATTAAAGAACACATAAAATTACCTTCACACTATGTGTCTAAGATATATGTAAAACATAAATGAATTTTGCATTCAGATTTATCCTACCTGTAAGATGTCTTATGTACATGTAAATAGCCCAGAATCTAAGCAAAGCTGAAATCCCCAAACATTTCCAGTCCCAAAGGTAATGGATAATTCAGTCTGTAATAACCCAAAGAGATAGTCTGTCTGTCTACTGTCTGTGGCTCAATTCACAGATTAAGAAACTGAGTAAAAACCTGAGAAATAGCTTACACATGATCAGAGAAATAATAGACGACAAATATGGGATTTGAACAATAGCAGCCTGGCTCCAATACTATGATATTTATCTGACTTTTAAACAAATCAATTTTATGATGTAGTAGAAATAATGTTCTAGTGATTAAATTCACTTGTTTTTAATATGAATGCATAATTTTCAACATGCAGTAAAAGTCATATAATAAATAGTGTATTTTGGAACTTTGATTTATTTTCTTCTAGTCTTTTTTTGACTGGGCATATACAATTAACACAGTTATAATTAACAAGAGTTTTACATTTTTACTTTCACACATAATCCAACAACATGCATTTTGTCTTCACAAGCATCATTTAGAATGATTGCATTTTCTTTTCTTTTAGTTTTGTTTTAAAAGTTTATCATTTCTATCTTTTCTGTTTTCTCACTGCTTATTCATACTTCGGTCTCAAACACAGACATATATTATTATATATAAAAACACAGGAGCGGGGCTGGGGATTTAGCTCAGCGGCATAAGCACCTGCCTTGTAAGCAGGCGGTTGTGAGTTCGATCCCTGGTACCGGTAAAAATGAAAAAGACAAAAAAAAAAAAAAAAAAAAAAAAAAACCCAAAACACAGGAACTATGCAGTGTCCCCAATTTGAATATTAGCAGAGTTTTTTTTTTTGCATGTTTACTTTTTTCCTATGAAAATTGTTTTCTTTTGAAATTCATTGCCTGTTACTTCAAGAAATAAGAGACATTTACTCAAAAAGGTTTTTGAAACAATGTCAGTAACTCTGTCCATACTAGATCTTGTAGCTACATAATGTGGTTGCTTGGTGGATTCAATTGTTGTGTGTCCTTTTTAGATAGGATATACACCCATTTTTTGTCACTATGACTTTCAATGAATGCTTCTGGTACTTACATTACTTACCAGCCTCTTGTGAGTGTTTCCTTTTGACACTGGATATAATGTAAAATAATGGATAAATAAATACTGGTCTCTATGAAAACTGGAGCTGTTGCTTCTCAGCCACTTGTGACAAAACTATGGTCTTTAAAATTCTTTTGGGATGTCCTTCTCTTCTATCACTTAACATAAGAAAAAGATTGTATCACAGCATTCATTCAAGCCAAGTAAAATCAGAACATTAAATCTGCATCATATCGCATTCCAAAACAAAGTTCAAATGATCCAATTGCTGTATACCACCTATTTGTATCTCTATTCTTCTCTTTTTATAGGAAATCAAGAGCCAAATGCTTTTGTAGCTCTCTGTCAATGTAGCTGTGTTACCATATTAACTTCTAAACTAATTTTCAACTTTCATGAAAAATGGGATATATTTATAAGCAAACATCTTGTGAATCACTTGGCCTTGTCACTGATATGATGTCTGCTGTTAACAGAATACTTGTAGCATGAATTCCCTCCTCAGACTCACACAGACCTAGGCTTAAAGGTCTTATAACTCTTTTATGTCAGTGCAGCAGTTTGTCTTTGGGGGAAGGCTACATAATGAAAGCATCTAGATACAAATGTATCTTGGGGATATCCAAGGCTTTAATTTGATCATCGCGAAAATTTTCTCTTTTTTTGTAGGTAAAAATAAATAATGATTTTAATTATGAATTTTATGAAAGTACTTGGTCTTACATAAAACAAACGTTGACAGAATATGAATCATCAAGAAGCAGCAAGTTCTTTTTCAGATCGTCATTATCCCGTTCATACAATCATGCTTCAAGTCTCAAAGAAGAGTTTAAGGAAAAGGTTAGTAGGAAACATCAGCTAATGTTTTCCTATCTCATTGGTTTAAAAAGTTGGTAACATTAACAAAAGTGTATGTATCAAAAAGATCAGCTTTCCTGTTTAAATTAAGGAAATAGTATCTCCTTAAAGTACAATATTATTTCTTTAAAGGTACAGTAATACTTGCTAATTCTCTTTGACAATCTATTTATTTATACTTTTATTGCCAAAGTATCTGTTATTATTTGAAAACCTTAAATTTATCTTCAAATCTTCCATTTTAAACTATCCTAAAATTCTCACTCATAGATACTGATGTTACTATTTTAAGTGTTATACTCAATGTTTGAAAATGCAGTAGATGTTTGAAATGTACTTCCTAAAAGTTAATGCTAATCTTTTTAGAAGATGCATGAAGCTAAAATATTTTAAAAATATTTAATCATTTTTGATGTACCAAAAATTTCATTTGAAAAATGTAAAACTCATTTTAAAAAATACTTTGTTATTCTGAAATACCAAAATTTTAATATTGAGACACCAGAATAGTTAAGATGGATTGTACTAATCAATATATATTTACTGTAAAAGAATTTATCTTACTGGTTGTCTCACAATCTGCATATTTTATCTCACCCTTAAAGTCAGTAGTTTAGTTAATAAATTGCACAAAGGGGATATAAGCAATATTAATTTTGTTTGTCTTATGTCTAAGACAGTTGTGGAAATATGAGCTTATTAAAAATACTTGTCATCTTTATATTATGTTGTCCACTTAGTAAGGATTTGGTGTAAGGTAGGTCTGTCTTCAATATCATTAAAAGATGCTTAGGAAATGTTTAAAATATCTCATTATAAAGTACCTTAGTGTTTAATTACACTATTGTGGGGATAAATTATATAGTTGTTTTCCTATAAGTCATGGTCAAGATGTGGACCTTCAGGACACATTATTTAAATACTGATTTGTGAAGTTCATTAGCAGTAGATGAAATTGCTTTTCTTTTTCTAGTTGAGGAGGTAGCAATAGCAAGTTGGGTCTCAGAGTTATAGTGGTCTTATATAAAATACATTACCAGGCACTTGTTCAGATTTTATTCTTATTTGGGACTGTAAAATTCCTTGAATAACCTAAAGAGAGTGGGCCCCAAAGAGACCTCATCATGCATTAAAAATAAAAATTTAAAAAGCCTGGATTGATTGGTAGTGGCAGTTGATGGAGATGTTGGACAGGGAACTATCCATTACATTTTTTATTTATCTTCTACTTAAAACTCTTTATTTTTTCTTTCCCCCATAGAATTATCAGCTGTTGGTTATTCAGAACACCGTTGAGGTGGCTCAGTTCATTAATAACAACCCAGAAGTTTTACAACTGGCTGAGCCATTCTGGAAGGAGCTCTCCTACCTTCCTTCCTTGTATGACTACAGTGCCTACCGAAGATTGATTGAGCAGTATGGGACTCATTATCTGCAGTCTGGGTCCTTGGGAGGAGAATACAAGGTTGTATTCTATGTGGACTCAGCAAAAGTCAAAGCAAGAGGTACAGTATTGAAAAATTGTTATCTCAAGACATTTCAGGGATTTTTAACAGAGAATAACATGTAGTTAAACTTCTGAGCTTTAAAATTTGATACAGATTTAAATTGCAAAAGAGTCCAAAATTGCAAGAATCCACTATACTCTATTCAAAAATTATATGTAGTTTAAGAAATGGCTGTCTACTCTTTTGAATAATAACCTGAGTTAAGCCATTATCATTATTGGCTGTCTCCAGAGGGTTTTGGATTTTTAGAATACTTTGTAACCTTTCTCATGTTAAACAATATCTCTTGAAGAAAGCTAAATGACAAATTTACTGATATTCCAGAAATCAAAATGTTTTAAAGAAGTATTTTACTTACTTGTATGCTCTGTCATTCATTTAAAGAGATATGCTCTGAATGTCACATACTTACTACCAAATACTTGCAGCAATAGCTTGAATTTGCTGACCTTCTTTGGAACAGGAGTAGCATTATTGCCAGTAGTCCTCACTACCAATCCGGGAGTTGGGTGCTATGATCCCTGTTCCACAGATTGAAAAATAAGAGGCTGAGGTCTGCTTTGAGAACTCATTTAAAGCCTCATGGATTGTGAAGGATTTTAAATCCTTACTGACTTCCTTGTCAGTTTAATCTTGTTCCTTATGCTGACTTGGTGCTACAATTGCCTTTTGTGAGAGCCAGGACACACCACTGAATTCATGCATTATTGCCTTCATATCATGGGGAGCATCTTTGCCTTCTGCCCAGGTGTAGAATCAATATTTTGATGTCTACTCATCTTCTCCAAAGAAGTTTGGCATACCAATGTTTCAAGTCTAATCTTCTTTCTAACTTTGTGTTATAGCTGATGCTCACATTTCTTTTTCCCTTCCATTTCTTTTCAGTAAAGTTTCTGTTACAGCCTTGGAAAAGAATAAAACTTCTTACCTTATTCAGAAGAGGTCGTTTATAGGCAACATAATACTTTTCTGTGGCTTCATTAAAGTTTTGTTGGTTGTTGCTAGATAAAATTTAAATGAATATCATGAGAAATATCTAGAATTTGAACTTTTTTAATTTTACAGGTTGAAGTCCATACACATACATAGGTTTTGGTAGCAAAGAGAAGCATTATTTCTCTGAACAATCAATCCAGCAAGTAGCTTGATCTAAACTCAAGTTTCAGCCTTTACCTGATACATAAAGAATTTAAAAGAAACAGACAGGATTTAAAATTTCTTTCCATGTTGGTAGAATTATTATTTTTTGAGTAAATTTTTTTACACTTCAGCAGTTTATGTGCTTCCTAAAGTTCTAATTTAAATAAAATATCAATTTTTGGGACATAATTTATTTTTAAGAAATATTAATAGTATTATAATAAAGTTAGTAAGATTACATGAGAGAAATACATTTTCTCACTTTTATTTTTGCAGTCCTAGGGATTGAACTCAGGGTTTTATGTATGCTAGGCACAGGCTGTACCACTGAGGAATACTCCCAGGTCACAATTAATTTCTATTCTGGTTTTTAAAAATGCATTGACAAAATGCTTGCTAATAAGTAGAAATTTAACATTCTAAAGTTTCAAGTTTTGGGAAGAATTTAGTAATGGTGGAGAATGAGGAAGATGCAATCAGTAGAACTAGGCTTTCAGAAATCAGTCAGCTTTTGGAATCCACCTTACAGGGGTAGGAAACCATTATGCTTCTGTGTTTATCTCTTTATTTCATGCTTGTTCATGAGTAAACAATACTGTTTTCTGGAGTAGTCACTTTCTTCATTGTCCAGTGTTTCATGTAGAAATCACATCTCCTCTGTCTGACCAAAACTAAAAGGAAAAAAAAAACATATAAAACATGTATCTCTGTTTCTGAACTTGGACCATTTCATGTATTGGAAAATATACATATCATTCCCTTACCCATACCCGGATACTTCATACAGAAGATATTCAATAAATGCAGAAACTAAGCATTTTGCATCCTCCTCCTGCAGATTCGAGTTCAGAAAAGGGGAAGAAATGCTCTTCCTCCGATTTCAATTTTATCTTTGTATCACATTCAGAGAGCAAATGTGAGAACCTGGGAGCAGATTCACAGTTAGATTCAGGTAAATAAAGCTTACTATCTCTCACCCTCTCTCTCTGTCTCTTCCTCTCTTGCTACCCCCTCCCTCCCTCTCTCCCTCCCTCCTTCCCTCCCTCTCTCCCTCCCTTCCTCTCCTCTTCCTTTCCCTCTCTCTCTCCCACCTTCGCTCTCTCTGTCTCTGTCTCCAAAGATATTTGAAGTGTTGGAAATTCTGTTTTGTGTTATACATATATTTGATTATTTTTGCTTCTGTTTTCTTTTTCATATGTCCTGACAGTGAGACATGCAGGGTGAATGTCTCCTCTGTATTGTAAATATGTTCTCCATGTGAACTTTCCCCTATGATGGCTGGAAGCAGGTCTATAAAAGTGACAATAATGGAACAACATTCAGTTCTATTCTGTGACAAGGACATTTGGTGAAGTTATGGTTTCTGGTGCATGCTGCCAGGGTGGAAAAGGTGGAAAATGTGTTGTGCTAGTCTTTGAGTAATCAAAGAGGAAACTACAAAAGAACACTGATCTAGACTTAGGTGCTAAAGAGTTTGAATATCATCTTGATTGGTGCCATTAAAGGATTTAACATGGGGATTGATTAAACATAGAGGAAAATGGGGAATGGAGAAGGAATGATCTGTTAAATAAGAAGTAGGAGAGATGGAAAGTAGAGGTGAGTCAGGTCAACAGAATGAAGTGCTAGAGAGAAGTCAAAAAAGAAAGAATGAAAAAAGTCTTTGGAGATTGTAATTTATTTGTCAGAAAAGGTAGAGATTGTGTAGTGTCGTAGGGAGAGAACCGAGACTTTTGTGTATTGTGTAAGGAAGGGACTGAGCAGTATCAGAGCTTAAATTCTTCTGGGTGATGGCAGAAATTGGGATGAAGTTGAAGACTGATCCAGGTGCACTGACTGTCAGCAAGGAAGCAGGGATTCTTATTAGTAGATGACTACAAGGAGAAAGACAAAGTAGTAAAATCAGGTTTATGTAGTCGCTATTTCATTCATTAACTATTGAGTCTGTAGTATGCACCAATACTTGTCTTAGGCACCAGGAATACAGCAGTGAATATGCCACAAGTACTCATTTTCAGAGAATTGATACAACAAAAAAAAGGGAAAAGTTTTGGAATGAGTTGGAAAATAATGCTTTAGAAATAGAGATGGAAATGAGATCTTTGGGAAGATGTTGGGGATGGGAAACCTTACTGATTTTATTTTGCATATAACAAGCACAGAGCTCTTACTATATTGCAGCACAATTTTGAGTGATTTTAAAAGAAACTTATGTACTTTTCCAACCTAAGGGTTAGATTTTAATGACACTTCCATTTTATAGCCAGGGCCACTGAACCACAGAAGAGTTGCTGAAGATCACTGTTTGTAACAACCAGATATGAGATGCAAATACATGAAGATCTGGCTTCACACTCTGAGCTCTGCACTGTTGTGATGTGCTGCCAGGGAAATGAGGACAGGAGACTTGCTGGTATATGGAGACAGAGGCTACAAGCTTAAACATACATAAAAACCAATTTATTAACATCTGTATCCTTGAACAGATGTTTTGATTAAGGCAATAATTGCCAAACTTTAGTGTGCAGGAGGATCACCTGGGCATGCTCGTCAAAATCCTGATTATAAAGCTTCTCTCGTTGAGACCCTCAGGGTCTTCGGTTTGAGCTTAGGAATAAACAGTCACCATACTAGTTGTGATTTGGTGGTTTGGAACATGAACTTTGTGATATCCTGAATATATTAAAAAGATGACTATTTGAATATTAAAAACATAATTACCAATGAAGATGAGGAAGCACTCAGGTAATTTATTTAAAATATCAAGCTTTTGTGATAATTTCTCATTAACTCATTGCTTGATTTATCAAATTGCAAATTTTGCAGTTACAAGAAAGGACATGGAAATCACTCAGAATGCAATCTGTGTGATTAAGAGTTTGTAGTCATGACTTATGTAAAAGTTGATTACAAACGCAGATAAAAATATTTCTGAAGTTATGAACTGCATCAATGAAAAAAAGAATTCAATTAACATTCACACTTTTCAGAACATCTTTCACATGTTAGGAAGTGTATTCCTCTTAATTAACAGTTTTTAAATTGTTAATATACAAGTTTCAAGGATTTTTCCCCTCCATTTTATTACAAAAATTTTTAAACATACAAAACATTGGAATAATGTAGCACTTAGTATCCTTATACTCATCACTTATATACAATTAATATTTTGGCATTTTGCTGCACTTATAATACTGTGTGGTTATTTAGAAGTATACATATCACATACATACACAAAAATGTTTATAACTTTTGCTGAGCTATTTGAAATTAAATGGTAGACATCATATTCCTTCATCCTTAAATACATGCATACATGTTCTGAGGCCATTTTCCTGCAACACATGACATTCCCATTATACTGAGATCATCAAACCCACTAACAGTTATTTTCTTATACTATCTACTGTCAGGGAATTAATTTTTTCTTTTACTTTTAAAAGTAATATCATCTTTTAGAGCTGCTTTTGTTTACAGCATAGTCGGGAGGAAAGTCCACAGGTTTGGAGATAGACTTCTGTTCTCTGAGCCTGCAGCGTCTCTCCCACTGTCCACATTCTCCACAGACGGGACACTGGTGAGAACTGGTGAATCCACACTGATGCATCATTATCACTCAACCTCAGTCTACATTAGGATTTGCTCTTGATGTCTGTTTTCTGGGTTCAGAAAGATGTCCAATGACCTCTACCTACCAGTAGAGTACTACACAAAATAGTTTCTGAACTCTGCCTATGTAGCCACTCCTCATTTTTTAAAACTATGTCTATGGTTTTGCTTTTCCCAGGATGCCATAGAATTGATAGATTTTTAAAAATACTTGACAGACTCTTCACATCAATGTTCTTATGGTCAGGTGATTTGTGCACTCTGACTAACTACCGTGGATTTCTCCTGTGTAGGAACTAAGAACAATATGTTGGAAGGAGAATCCTTTGTTAGAGGGGGAACTTCAGCCCTCATATCTGGCCTTAAATTCCTGGATCTGAAGAATCCTGCTGACAACAAAAAGAGATACTCTCTTTGGGCAGAATCTGTGCCTAGTCTTCCGCAAGTCATAAAACAAAAGGTGTGTGACGCTCTGTTTAAAGCAGTAGGAAGCAGTCATGTTTATTTGCATTGGGAAAATGAGTTCAGCTCAAGGTGGCTAAATACAATCTGCTGTAATTAGTATTTTTTGTATCCCAATTATGTTTTATATGTAAAATGAATATATACATAATAATAAGAAATGGAAGGTGTGGTATCTGGCATTTTAATATCTCTGTTGTAAAGGTTAAGTGTCTTGTAAATCTCAAGAGAAATTGAAGATGAAATTTATATTTTTAACTGTTGGCATAAATTTGATTTTATTTTCCTCAGCTCCTAATTCAGAGGAGTTATGGATTCTTTCCAGGGGAAGGCATTTAGATTTGCCTGCTATTACATCTGTCAGATTAGATCACCTTTCTTCCTGTGGCTATGGCTCATCTGTTCCTGAAGATAGCACCAAATTGGTTGGCAGAATTAAGGATGTTTTATTGATACAGTCAGTCTTTTTATAACACAACATGTGTGTTCCCCCAAGTCACTGAGCTATGCAAAATTGAACAATAAAGACCACAAAACTTGTAGGGAAAAATCGTTAGGGACATAAGACTAAAAAAAAAATCACCTGTGATGCTCATAAAAACATGGCTATCAATAAAACAGCTGCAGTTTTATAACACACACACACACATGAGAGAGAATAAGAGAGAGAGAGAGAGAGAGAGAGAGAGAGAGGGAGAATATTACTTAGTAAAAGGTCTCAAGCTTGCTGGGTGCAGCTTGTGAGTTATCATGGAGTGATAGAAGGAAAACAATCAGAAATCTGGTGGACATGTAACACAAGATGAGTGGATATGGTTTCTAATACAGGTGGTGAACTGGTGGAGATGTCTGAGGTATATGTGTGCAGGTACATTTCGTGCATTCTTATGGGGACTGGTTAGGATGCATGCAGTTTTCCTGGTTCTCCCTGTGTTTTTTACAGATAAAAATCAACATAAGAAAATGCTAAATTTGTGAGATGCTCATATTGTTCTCTAATATGGCAATCTCAATGAAATTAATCCAAAATTTCAAAGCAAACATTAGAGCAGAGCTAATTTTATGATCTAGTCCCTGGTTTGGGAATCTCAAGCAAAGCCAGATTTTCAGAGTTTAAGAGACTTTGACATGCTTCATATACTTAGAAAATTGACAATGGCTCTTCAAGTACTCTCCTGAACCCACTTCCTTTGAATAAAGCCAGGAGTGCAAGGACGAGTCTTTTTCCCCCAAGAAACTTCTGAAAGTGTCATTTGTAAACATTTAGGATGGCTTGTATTCATTGTCAGTGCCCCATCCATTCTTTAAAAATCTTAGGGAAAAATGAATATTTTTTTCATTGACTGAATTAGGCACCCTTTCATAAAGATGGTAACCTTCATTGTTGTGTTAACTTATTGGCTGAGCAGCAAAGGAACAGTGAAAGAAAAAAGACCATGCAGATCTATGATCAGAAAAGCCTGGCTCCCAAGAGCCAATGGTGCACACCTGTTCTGAACTGTGTGCTTTGTGACATCCTGGTGGCATTCTGAAATTGGTCATGGTGAAAAGACACTAAAAAATTAGCAAGTGCTATAAATCAGCTCCCTGTTCTCCTGAGAGAGCAGGCTATTTAAAATTTTTCAGGACATCTGGGATTTATAAGTTGCTTTTCTACTGAAATATCCAACACAGACAATGTTTACCTTCTGTAGGCAAATGCCCACCATCTCCACTAAAACGTGAAATATGTCAGAGTCAGGAAACTTAACTCTACATTTACTTTTTTTCTGTAATCTAAGTGCATTTCTTTTTTTCCTATTTTCTATAAGGATGGTTCTATATTTTCTTCAAAATAATCATCCATTAAGTAGAAAACGAGTATTCTGCTTTGTAAATTGTATACATGCTTACAGAATCTAAAAAAAAAATTCCTCTGGTAGCTAATTCAGATCTCAATTTTGTTGCCAACAGAGTGAATTGTTTTCATTTTTTATTTGAGCAAAAAATAATTCTATCATAGTTCCTCCTTATTTGCAATTTCACTTTTCTTGGTGTCAGTTTCGGGTCAATCAATTGTGGTATGAAAATACTATATGGAAATTTCCAGAAATAAACAATTCATAATTTTTTTGTAGTACTGAGAACTGAACTCAGGACATTTGCACTGAGCTACATCCCCAGTCCTTTACAACTTTTTAAAAATTTTGATTCAAATAAAATAGCCCACGTGGGGCTTGAACTTGCAGTCTTACTGACTCATTTTTTTAAGAGTTCTAAGATTACAAGAGTGTGCTACCATTCCCAGCTCAATTCATGCATTTTAAAGAAGATTTATTACAGTATAACTGCTCCAATTATTGTGGTAGACTGATGACCTGTGGTGGACTGGTCAACTTGTAACAAGCTGAACAGAATTGCTGTGATTCTGAGTCATCATCAAGCTCAGGACCTTGTTGTCATTGAGCATGGCTGTGGCTCATTTTGGAGGAGCTCTGGTCTTTATTGCTTTCTGGCTCCGGACAATTAGAGGTGGTGCTATTCAATCTCCAGGAGAAGCTTGTCATGCTGACTTCCTGATAGGAACTCGGCTGTTCTCATTGTAAGAGGAGCTCAGGACTTCGTTGTTGCTGAGGTTAGCTGTGATGCTTTTCAGGGGAGCCCTGGTCCTTATCTTGAGCACTGCTTTTTCACTCCATTGTAGAACCTTCAGCCTACTGGCACAGATTCTTCATCCCCCTGCCACAGCTTTCTAGCTTTCACCACTGACCTTTGGGCCTTTCCAAGGTGAATCTGTATAACAACTTACATGAGACATTGTTGTGGGCTCTAGGCCTCCAGCTGGACTTATAAGGAGCACTGTCATGGGCTCTAGGTCTTTAGTTGGACTCATGCAGGATGTTGCCATGAGGACTCATGCAGGATGTTGCCAGGCCCTCAGTTGGATGCTTTGGGTCTTAGTGTGTGGATAGATTTCCTGAACGTCTTGTATTTAACTTTTAGGGTGACTATTATACAATAATACTATAAATTATGTATTCTGTAATATAATTGTTTTCCTTGTAATCCCTGACTACAACCGTTATTGTTATTAATCTCTTCCTATGCTTAATTTATGAATTAGCTTTTATCACAGATTGGATAGAAAAATTATAGTGTTCATAGGTTTGGTACTATCAACCATTTCTAGCTTTTGCTAAGGTTTCGAGACAAATCCCTGGTGGATAAGGAGGGAATATTATCATGAGAATAAGAGTAGCTTTTGACTTGTTTCTGTGGGGATGGTGCTAATGTGAGAAGAAAAATATTTTTACCTCGAGCTCTGAACACTGACTTTGATTTCTTTCTTTGTGTAGCTAACGCCTCTGTATGAGTTGGTAAAGGAAGCACCTTGTGCTGCTGTGAAAAGACTGTACCTGAAGCGGGCTCTGGAGGAGTACCTGGATGAGTTCGACCCTTGCCATTGCCGTCCTTGCCAAAATGGTGGCGTGGCCATTGTGGTGGGAACTCAGTGTCAGTGCAACTGCAAACCGTACACCAAAGGTGTGGCATGTGAGCAAGGGGTCCTCGTAGGGGATCACGCAGGTCAGTGTGCCGAATTGCCTTTGGTGATTGAAGAACACATTGAAAACTATTTAACCCCTTCTTTTTTTGGCCTTGAGATGTGCTTCCTGATATATGAAGAAGTGAACTTGTGTTTGAATTTATATCTCTCTCCCTTGCCCATCTCTGTATTATAGTTACTGTGCCTGACTTTTTACTGTTCTCTTTCTATCCACCTGAATTAATAATCCCACTGTGGGCCCCACTCCCTCATCTCTATTTGAATTGAAAAATAGAGTATGGGTCAGGCTCAGTGGCTCACACCTGTAATCCCAGCACTCAAGAGACTAAGTAGGAAGATGATCGTGAGTTTGAGGCCAACCTGGACTACATAGTCAGACCCTGCCTCAAAAACATTATAATCATCAACAACAATGTAGAACAAAACAACAAAAAAATAGAATATGGTGAAAATATTTTCCATAATTATCTCCCTAATGTTTTGCTGCAACACAGGTTTGTGGAGCGTGTGTTCACATTGCTTAAACTGACAGTAAGCTCTTTGAAACATCTCTAATTCTATTTTGCATAAAGTACCATCAATCATTCATTCATAAATATCTTCTGAACATCTTCTGTGTGTTCAATAGTATGCATAATGCTTCAAACACTTATGGCTATATGAAGCTAAACACCTTAGTGGTCAGAGTATGAGTACAACTTATCAGTGTTTATTTTTATTCTTATAGTTATGTATATGTCTGTATTCTCCAGAAAGCTCATTCCTTAAGGTCAGATCTGTTTGATTTCTTTTTTTGTTCTTACAGCCTGACATAAAGCTCAGGTTTATAGACATCATTACGTACATGTTTGATAAATGAACAAATACACGGCTAAACAATGGTGGCTTATAGACATGCCTCAGTAAGTCATCCTTATCCCCAGATGTTCCCCCAAGCCTGTCCTGGAGAATTGAAATTCCACCCTGATGATTCCTTTCTTTGTGGCTTACATTTCTAGTTTTCTATTATAATGGAAACACTGCCTGCTGGTAAGGACTAGGGTATCAACCACAACATATTAAGTTACTTTTGGCCCCTGATAACGTACTCAGGACTACTTTGTTAAGTAAAATATAATTATGATAGCATAAGGAAGGTCATGGAAAATACATAAATTGGCTTAGCTTTGATGTAATACTGAAGCATTGTGGAGTAGGGAGAAGAGGAGTGTGGCCACAGAGAAGAAGAAATTTAGGATTAGCAAATACTCCCACATCAGGATACAACACTGTTGGAATACCGCGCTCTGCGAGCGTGGTCTTAGAGATCACTGTCTAACTAGGAGAACAAGGCTCTTAGGATATGATGTAGTTTGTCCCTGTTTTCCCCAAGGAGCGTGATAGGGGAAAATACCAAGGGAACCATGAATCTTAAATAGGCTTCGACTAGCAAGACGTGGGTTAGAAAGTGTCTGTACATTGGAGAAGGATGCTGGAAGGAGGAAGAATCAGTGACTTAAAAACTTCCTCTTACTCATGCATTTCCTTGGTTTATAAAAGAAGGCAAGGAGGTGCTGGGAAGACAGGGAGTTGGAATGCTTTGGGGTTAGCAGACTGAAGAATGTAGTAGGTCATGTTCTTTTCTTGGCAAACTCCTGTCAGCTATAGGAATTTGCCTTATTAGACACTGTGGGGTGAAGGAAAGTCTGGACTCAGCTGCGTAATTGGTTACAGTCTGAGTGTGACCCTGTCAGTAGTCACTTCTCCACCGAATGTAGCATTTAAACGCTTTGTGTTAGATTCCATGTATATTAGAAATAGAACTGTTGCCTACCTTGACTGATCTGGGAGAAATAACACTGTAAATGATACAGTGTCTATGAAAGTGATTTGAAGCAGTTATAATATAATGAACAAATTTAAAAAATGCAAAGAGTTCACTGATGCAGCCTTAATATGGATATTCTGAGTCAGTGTATAGAGTTCTGGGTATTTTAGGAAATCTCAGTGAACACAGCAGAGATAATCAATTCCCAGAATTATTTCTTCCTCCAGTAAACACATGGCAAGAACCATAGAAATAATCTCTGAAGTCATCCTCTCAAGGAACTTGCTGAAGAGCCTCTCTCTTGTCTTACATAAATAATTGTCTTACAGGTGGGATTGATGGAGGTTGGAGTTGCTGGTCCTCGTGGAGTCCCTGTGTTCAAGGAAAGAAAACAAGGACCCGAGCATGTAATAACCCGTATCCCAGTGCAGGTGGAAAGTCCTGCATTGGAGAGACAACCGAAACCAGGCAGTGTGAAGATGAAGAGCTGGAGCATTTGCGGTAATGGACCAGACTTCTGCACAGTTACATTAACACAGTGACCTTGGCAGTAAGCACAGAGCACGTGGTGGCTCCGTGGAAAGACTAAGAAAGCACGTGGTGATTTTTATCAGTGACTGCTTTGCCCCACAGCACTGGTGTCAGCATAGATTTTCCTGACACCAGAGAGACATAGGGCTGGGTAACTAGATAAAGCCCAACTGAGTGCACAGTTTGTTTTTAATTTTAACATTTGTTGGTACATGTTTACAGTACATGATGATTATATTTATTATGAAGAGCATTCTGAGTGGATGTGAGCACAGCTTTGGCCTCCAGCCAGTGTGCCACCTACTTGCAGTGTAACCTTGGCTAAGTTACTTGCCATAGCTCTAAAATTCCAATGACCAACCTTAAATATCTCATGCTTTCTCTCATATGGGGAAACCAAAGCATAAATAATTAAAGAACAAAATAAAGGATAGGCAATAGGAAATAGGGAAATAGATCTTTTGCAAAAGAGACAGGGACCAAGAATTGAAGGCGGGGAGGGGGGCATACCATTCCCTATTTTTCTTAGGTGAAGCCTAAAACTAGATGCTTGAGATGGATATCTTCACTGATTAGCTCTGTGGTCATCTGGCATGAACTTCACATGTGCAAGGAACTTGCAAAAGCTATCTTAAAAATGCATAGTTGATGCAATGTATCATGGTCCAGAATTTCCTATCCCATCCTCACTGTTTACACTATTCTTTTATTTTTCTTTTACTTAGAATGTAGTAAAAATACAACAGAACAAGATAAAACAAAGTCAATCGACAATGTAGTGACATTGGTACAGAACTTCACAGGAGGATACTGCGATAGTAGTAATAGGTACTATAGTATATCTCATTATCTTCACAATAGTTTTCCAGTCAGTTAGGTATAGAGAAATCAAACCAATAACAGACCATTATAAAACCAATTGAAGGAGAATACTGAATAGAGCATAACAATCATTACACAAACATAACAGTGAAAATAACCTTTGCCTTCAAACAGAGCATAGAAAGAAATCCCCCTTATTTGCCTTACTGCATATGGTCTTCCTCCCAAGAGATGCTCAGAACTCTGTCCCCAGATGCTGACTGGGAGTGGGGGAGATGTTTGATTCTCAGCCTGTGCACTGGTAGGCTCTTGGGAACAGCTGACTGGTTCTCCTCCTGGTTGGTGCCAGGGACATTTACCAAGAGGGCAGGCAAATTGCTTTCTTGTGCAGCCGCCTAAGTCCCAACATGGCCAGGTCTCAGATAGCCGCTTCTCTGTTTACAGTATTCTTTATTTTTAAAATTTTATTTTGAAAGTAGTAAAAATGCAACAGCACAAGACAGAACAAAGCCAATTGAGAAAATGCAGTAATACTGATACAGAATTTCTCAGTAGGATACTGGGATAGTAGCAAAATAAAACCAAAAACAACATTATAAAACCAATTGGGAGTATTGAATAGAGCAGAAGAAACATAAAACACAATAGTGAAAACAATCTTTGCCTTCAAACAGAAGATAGAAGGAAATTCCCCATATTTGCTATACTGCATATGGTCATCCTCCCAAGAGATGCTGAGACATCTATCCCTAGTAGCTGCAGGGGAGAGGGAAGGGTGTTTGATTTTCAGCCAGCATGCTGGTAGGCTCACAGGAACCAGTGGGTCTCCTCCTCGCCCACACTAGGGGCGCTTACCAAGAGGGCAGGCGAATAAGCTGCTTGAGTCCCACCATGGCCGGATCTCGGACCTCAGGAATGCTGGTTCTCCTCGTGGCCCTCACTGGGGGTTTACACTATAGTTACAAGCGTTTTCTGGTCAAGGTTATTTTTGTTTTGTTTTGTTTTATTTTATTTTTTTCTGATCAGGGTTTTGCGAGAGAATTCTAATAAGATAATTTGAATATCACATAAGTTAAAAAAAAGAGGTAATATGCTTGCAGATAGGGTAGAAGGGAATGTGGTAGAAAGGAAGTGGCGTATCTTATATCTAGGTCTTCTATGCCATTTAATCTGACAATAATCAGTGTCTCTCAACTGAGGGAGCTGAAAGCATATGGGTTATGGTAGAAAGCAGTGCTGGCCCTGCCTAACTTAGTGGCACATGCTATAGTTCTAGCATTTAGGAGGCTGAGGCAGAAGGATTGCAGCAAATCTGAGGCCAGCCTGAGATACATAGTGAGTTCAAGGCCAGCCTGAACTAGGTAGAGAGACTCTGCTCCAAACATTTAAAAAAAAAATGTCCCTCATGGGAGAGTGAGGATCTGAGGGGGGGTCTCTGTCTGAGTGAACCTAATTTCCCTAACTTTAGATATAAAACTGGAGGGATGGATGCTTCTTTAGGGAGGATTTGGAAGAGTTTTCACTCTTGTTGGTGTTCAGAGAAAGCGAAATATCCTCTCCACAAACAGGAAAATTTGCTCAAAACTTTACATTTCTGGTTTCCTTAGAGTGTTGCAAAAGGGCAGGGCTTTGAGCTGAGAAGCAGGCAATGCTTATAGGCTATTTCAATGTTTTTCCTCAGATTTTGTGTCTCTGGAGTAGATATACTGGTGGCACACTGATCTCAGAGGTACTGTTGAAATCTACTGCTTAGTGACTGATGATACCATTATGATTCTAGTTACTACACATTCCCCCCCAGGGAAGATTCTGTTGATGGCAAACTGTCAGGGTTAGGAGTCTAGTAGGCTTAGGATTCTTGCCTCAGACTTTGTCAAAAAAGTTTTTGTCTAAGAATGTGCTATTCATTTTAGGTATTGAAAAAAATGTAGACATCGTGACTTTCTCTTTCTTATTGCTTATGAGAGACAGAAAGAACATGATTGTAGAAGTCCAACTGACTGGACATTAATCTAGCCCTGGTATTTATCAGTTCATAATCTTGGACAAGGTATTGAAATTTTCTGTGTCATTGTTATTTTCCAAATGTCTCAACCAGTGGCTACATGAATTGCATTAAAGTAATGCACATGTACAAAGCAACAGCTATCATGCCTGGCACATAGTAGATGCTTAGTAAGTAGTAGTTATTATAAGTTTGTGTCTCTTGATTTTTTGGGATCATTAACTTTATTCTCTTCATTTTCAACACGAAATTAATTCTGTGTTAAAGGAATCTCAGAGCCCAATAACAGGAGAAAAGTAAGTTCTGAAACTAGTGAGCGCTAGAAGTCACATACACTAGGTGTGTTGTCCAGAGTTACCTCTTTTTTATTAGCTCATGTTTACAGTACATTATGGTAACATTTATCGTGGGGATTCAATTCATGGATAGAATAGGTCTAATTCTTCTTTTTCAACTTTTCATCCCAATCCCTCCTCTCTTTCCCTGTCCCCTCCAATTTTTGTCCTCTTCCCATTTGCAAAAGCTCTATTTTCATCAAGATTTTCATCTTTAGTTCTCTTGATTTTCATCCCCTTTCCCTTCCCTCCAGCCCCTCTCTCATGGTTGTTTTTATATACACTGATCAATTAAATTACTGTGTTTTGGTGTATCAAGTTTTTATTTGAATTTTATATCATAGAAGATAAGCAGGTATTTGGTTCTAAGAAGGACAAAAATGTCACAGAATAAACTTATACTTTATATGCCTTTGGATACAAAGGAAAAATTCAATACAGTGCAAAATATTTATTAAACTATAGAATTCAATCATGTTAATCACCTTTTTCTCTCTCCTTTCAGATTGCTTGAACCACATTGCTTTCCTTTGTCTTTGGTTCCAAAAGAATTCTGTTCATCACCTCCTGCATTGAAAGATGGATTTGTTCAAGTTGGTTATGAGAGAAATACATATATTCTTAAAATATTCTAAGTGCTATATCTGTATTGGGCCATTATCTATATGCTTCCTCCATAGCAAAATAGAGCTAAAAATATGTGTGAATTTTAGTTTTCATGGTGACTTTAGTTCGTGACTTTTACTCTTTGGCCCAAGGTAATTCAGACTTTACAAAAGTCAGTATATCTTTTGTTGTTGTGGGAAATCAACACTGCCACCCACTGAATTAGAAACATAGTCATGCCAGAGGGCTATTCAACATTGCCACTGTGAATATAAAGAATCTACAAATAAATTTCCTTGTTTTTGCCAATGAAACAAGTTTTAAAAAAATAATAATGTGAGGATTGGAATAAAGAATTATGTTTATTCCAGGAGCCAAAAGACATTAGAGATAGGGGATATAGCTCAGTGGCATAGTACTTTCCTAGCAATTGCAAGGTCCTGAGTTTGGTTCCTGGTACAGAAAAAAAAAAGACATGTAGGTCACTTTGTATTGAGATTTGGATCACTGTATAGTTTTCTAGTTCCGAAAGGAAAGGACTACTAGTCATCTGCCATTTGCCATTTTAGGCACTTGGTTTGGCTTTGGGACTATATTACTTAGGGATATTCTCAGTCTTTTTTTGTGGTGAGGACTTGATTCCCAAATTCCAGTGAAGGTTCATCATGGGTCACACAGAAGATATCTGTCAACAGGATGTCCTCAATGATGCTGTTGTGAAGAATTTTTGCCTCTTAAACTCTTGACTTTTGAACATATATGATCACTTAGAGTTTCTGGTTTCCCCAATGTAGGTACTGCAGAGAGAAAGAATAAGAGAAGCTAGCACCTCCACTGCACACAGTGTCCCACTACATAGTATGGTGACTATAGTCACCACAATCCAGGGAGTTCCTGCAGAAACAGGCTCAGAGAGTGAAGCCAAGGAAGCTTATATACCTTGGAATCATGAGGCTGCTGTCACCTAAGATTCCAGTACAGAGTTTTCAACATTGTTATCTTAGCCAGACAGAATAATCCCGGGAATTTAAAAAGAGATGTAACTTGCTCCTTGCCCTCCGCTTCCTCTGATCTGATAGGTTTGGGGTAGAGCTTGAAAGTTTACTTTTAAAAATTGCCACAGGCTGTTCTGGCATAGAGCCATGTCCAGGAAGTGCTGAGTTAGATGCACAGAAGTCTATTTGCAAGGTGTAAGAAAGCTTAGGTGCTAGAATCAAGAATAAACATGAACCCTTCCCCCTTTTCTTCAAACCTCAAACTCAGTTGAGCCCTCTGATTCTTACCATCTTTCACCATAGAACCAGATTTGGACAGCAAAAGCAAAAGCCAGTGAGGAGAGTGGGAAATTTTGCTGTAATCTTTAGTGTTGAGCTTGTGTAGGTACCAGCTCCAGGCTAGAATTTCTTCACCATTCTCCTGGCAGGGAACCAGAGGGTAAAGAAGAAAAAACAGAGTGACTCAAATGAACACAATTATCTCATATGGGCTGGGACCTTAAATTCTTTGCCTCACCATGCAAGCTCAACTCCTGGCATTAAAGGCTAATAAAGTGTTCTTGCATCTGACCCAGCCACAAAGTTATATTCACACTTAATGGTGGAGTAGAAGGGGTGGGGTGGGGAAGACCAGCATTATAGATTCCTTGAATTCATGAGTGTGAGACTTAAACTCTGACAAAACTGACAGGATTTTGACGTTTCTGTATATGCATATTAACACTTATGAGGTAGTATTGCCAATCAACAGCCTCTCGCTAAAAATATAAGAGAAAGAAATTATTTGAATAGCATCCAGTAAATAAATGCTTTACTAAATAATAGCTTTAATAAAATGCTTAAGTATAGCACTTAGTATATTGGGACCAATGAATACATCACAGTATAGTGGTCAATACATCATGTATACATGTCATTAATAGCTTTATTTCAATTAGTGGTGGTAGTAGTATTGTTGGATAGTGCTATACATGGAAAATATTTTATAAACCATTTTCCAAATTAGTTGATAGGATGTACATTGCCTGATGACTAAAAGAAGCTATGATTTGTAGGGAAAATAAATGTTTTATTAATGCATAATAGACAAACTCAACCTTTCTCCATTTTTATTTTTGTTTAGGGTGAAGATACTAAGTTTCCCGTTGGGAAAAACATAGTTTATACTTGTAAAGAAGGATATTCTCTTGTTGGAGACCCTGTTGCCAGATGTGGAGAAGATTTACAGTGGATTGTTGGAGAAATGCACTGTCAGAGTGAGTGGCCTTGTTTATCCTAAGTTACCTTCCTGTCACAAGGACAGAATATTTGACATCCACAATTTAAAGGAAGAGAGATTTATTGTGGTTGATGATTTCAGTCAGTGTCAGCCAGCTCCAAAGCAGACATGGGATGGCAGAAGAATATGGTACAGGAAAACGTGCTCAACCCATGGCAGGAGGAAGCTAAGAGGGAAGGGAAGAGCTGGGGACAAGAGTACCCACTGCTAGGTCATACTCTCAGTGAGCTCCTGCTCACTTCCAGTTAGCTCCTGCTTCTCAGCAGCTCAGTGGATGAACACGCTGTTGAATATACTGTCCCAAGGGCCAGTTTTCTTTCTTGTATATGTTTGTGGTAGTTGATATGTATACATTTTCTTGCTAATTTTTAGTACCCCTTACCCTCATCTCCTTCTTTCTCTATCCCTCAAACACATGGAGCTTTTGAGGGATATTTTAGATATGAAATAGAGCAGTTATAGTATATAACTTAATACAAAATAACAATGTAGAGTAATGATGAACAACTACTTACCATGTGCCCCAAGTCTTGACCTCTTTTTCTTGAAAGGCTAACATGATTCTGTCTAAGTAGTAGAAGTGTCTAGAATAAGACTCTGGCATTCTCCAGCTAATAATGTTACTGTTCAAAGAGGTAAATTTTATTGTAATTTAAAAGTTTCTAAGGCAAATTAGAACAAATTAGAGAGCTTTAGTTTGTGATTATCAGCACATTCCTTAGAGTTCAACTTCTTGGGTTGTGCCATAATCTACTTCCTTAAGTGCTTTGGATCCTGTTCTGTTCAGATATAGACATGTGAGTAAGAACATATGCATATTGTACCAACCTAAATTTGTCTTTGGCGTCTGTCTTAGTTGGAATATAATAAGTTTGTTCAGCAGATGGATAGACAGAGCTGTAGGAATTTATTTCTCCCAAATCAGTTGTTCTATGCTATATGAGGAAAGCCCTAGTGCACATGCCTCTATTTTCTCACTTAGGAGTGTGCCTATTAGTGACATTTCTGAGTCATTGGGAATAAATACACTGGGTCTATATGCATTTGATTCAGTAGATGCTGCCAGTCTGTCCAGTGCTTATACCAGCGTATGACCCCATAGAGTTTGAGATATATGTTTTAAAATATTATTTTAAGTGAAGAGAAAATATTCAAATTTCACTTACCCTTCAGTTCATTAATTCCCTGAATAATTGTGTATTACTAACTTTTAAGAACTCTGTTGTATTCTTAATTTCAGTTTTTAGTTATGCATATTAAATTTTTGTACTTTTTCAGTCTTTCAATTCCTGGTTGAGATTCTTTATCTTGTCATTTTTTCCAACATACTAATTGCAGCTGTTTCAAGGCTGATATCTGTTTACTTTATTACCTAGATTTCCTGCGGGATTCTTCCTATTGTCTTAATTTGTTGGATTTTAGTCAATTCTTGTCTTTCCGAGTGTTAGACTGGTTTTGAGTCAAAGCCAGACTTTGCTCGGGGAAAATGAAAGAAGTAACTTGAAGTTTTGGGATATGTTGTTTTTTTTTAAGAAATTTTGTTTCTAGAGAGCAATGAGGCTGGTTCATTGCTGGTTTTTCTTTATTCCCAGAACATACCCTTTATAAGATCCCATAAAAAATACAGGATTTCTGTGAGGTCTCTCCCATTAACTTTGGTCTACTAGCTTTGTAATGCTGCTGAAAATTCTTACTGACTTTCTGTCTCAGGGCTTCAGCTTTCTCAAGTTAGTTTCCTTTTTCCATGTGCATGTGTGCATGTGTCTTCCAAATTTAAAAATACCTCAAAGAGTAGAGAATTACAAAGATCTCATGATCACCACCTTAGACTTTCCTCAGACCTTTAAAAACATACTACTTTGATAGCTCTCTGAGTCTTTTAAAAATATTTTTTCTTTGTACTTTTGTGTAGCTTTCCTTCCTAGTTGTTTCGGTAGGAGAGTGATTGTGAAGCCAGCACATCTTGTCTGAAACAAGTCCAGGGCTAGATGATTAGCTTCCTGAGGTCATATTATGTGAGTTTTTATCTCACTGCCTCTATCAAAACACACATATTTGGCAAAATATACGTACTTAGTAAATGTTATTTTTGAATGAATTGTCTTAATCATTTTGTTCATTGAGAATAAATATCCAAAAGACTCATATCTGTTTCTTTATGTAAATGCATTTGGTCCATCTATAAGAGCTGCCAGAGTTCTAACAGCACTTCAGCATTGCTTAAAAGTCCAAGCCTAAAGTTTGTTAAGACTCAAGGCAAATTCTTAATTGTGAGTCTCTATAAGAATCAAAAGAAAGTTATACGCTTCCAACAATATAATGACATTGGATATATTCCCATTCCAATAGGGATAAATAGGGGCATAGAAAGAAATGGAACCAAAACAAGATTGAAATCCAACAGGGAAAAGAGTAAATCTTGTAGTTCCAAGTTTAGTATCTAGGGTAAGTTGTGGCTAGATGCAAGCTCCAAAGGGTTCCAGTGGCCCCATTCCTTTGGTGTTATCAGCATAGCCTTCATGATTTTTCTCTTGACTTGGCTCTGCTCACCTCCTGTAACTTCCTCAGCAGATGCCCCACATTGTTGGTTTCTCCAACTTTCTCCACTGCATTTTAACTTCACTTTTATAGCTTTATATACTTCCTTCCAAAGGGCATCCATAGGATGCCTAGCATCCCAGACCTTCTTCTGAAATACAGATGGAACCTTCCCTGACCTCCATTTCTAGTATTCTGAATACCTGTTAAACCAGCACCATCTGGATAATGCCAACCCTTGCTACCATTTTGAGGAGTGACTTGGTCTTCTTAAGTCATAGAGAGTCCTCCAAGTGACAAGATGGCTGAACACTGTGAGCTAAACCCTAGGGAACCAGTTTACTAGGTGTCCCTTCAGTGTTCTATGACAGTGTTTTAGATGGACTTTTATTTCTGTTTCTCTGAGGATTTTGCTGCAAACAACATACTGTCACCTGGACATTGGCTGCTTTGAAATTTCCTTCACCAGATTAATTAACCTACTGTGCTTAAACTCAGCCTCTTGAGAAGTCTTAGAATGTAGGCAAAACAAAACCAAATTTCTGTCAGAATGTAATGCACATAGTTTTCAATAAACGACAATAGACATTTTGTTCTCAGTGGAAACCTCCTGAGCTTGGTCATTCAGTCTTCATTTGTATCAGCTTTCTAGTTTTCTGAGCTCTGATGAGAATCTTCCGCCAGTCTTTGCTTATAGTATCCTGGGGTTTCTCTAGCTAGCACCTCCAAGCCTTTCCAAATTTCTCCTGTGGACCAGTTCCAAAGGCTTCTGAACCTCATGGACAAGTACAGTCACCATGATCACTCTACTTCTCAAAGTCTGTCTCAGCCACTTTTTCTTTGCTGCAACACGATAACTAATACCTAGTTGAAAGGAGAGGTTTATTTGAACTTAGGGTTTTTAGAGATTTCAGTTGATAGTTGACTGCATCCATGGCTTTGTCCATGGCGGGAACAACATGGTGAAAAGGCCTGGCAGAGGAAGTCTGCACCTCCCATGATGGGCAGGAGGTGGAGAGAGATGGGAGGAGGGTGGAAGGAGACATATCTTTCCTGGACATTCCCCCAGTGACCCAACTCTGAGCAGGCCCCTGTCCTTAATAGTAAGTCAGTGCTGGTCCTCTCATAATCTAGTCATCTTCCAAACACATGTGGCTTTGGGGGAACACTCCAGAACCAAACCATGATGTGAATGACTGAGTTTCCTGAAGAACATAGTGTGGAAATAGAGCAATATTTTTAAAAATATTTTACAAAGTCTATTAAGAGATTGCAAAGAGTTTTTAAACACCATAGATTCTGATGTGCTATGCATGGTTCTAATTTTTCTCTGCTTTTTTTAAAGTAGAAGATTGAGGCAATGAGTGCAATTAAGTAAGAAAGAATAGAGATTGAAAAGCAAAGAAATTGAACACTGTGGTGCTTTAAAATATTCAGATAAAAATAAAATATTCAGATAGTAGCATGTCTAATTGGAGCTAATGATATTCAAATGAATATGTGAGGGACGTTACCATTCTAGAGAGAAAAGTGACATCTGTTAAAGGTCTGGTTTTAAAAATGAGCTGGGCTTTAGGAAGGACTCTATTTGGAGGCTGATGCATTTAAAGTTGTTATATTGCCTTCAAAGCAGGATGGGAAAAAGATAACTGTTTTGATCATCAGTATTCAATGGTTGAATATATGGCAGGCATCATGGCACATGTCTTTTAAGACACCTTAAGTGAGGGATCTGAAGATGGCAGCTTGATAGGTAGCAGGGTGGAGAGCCTCTCTGAGAAAAACAACTCAGATGCTAGAATTTAACACCATGGAGAAGACCAGATGAAAGGAGAGGGATTCTCATGACCAAGGAAGAAACTGAAGAAAAAGAAAAAGAAAGAAAGGAAGGAAAAATGTGGATGAAAGGCTGAAACCAGACATGCTCACTGGGACTGGTCCCATGCTGTGCTGACATGCCTTGGAGTCAGATGATTCACGGGCACACTGAAGTCTCTGCTGCCGAAATCAGGGGTTGGTGACTCCAGGGCCCTTGGTGGGAGGATGTGGCACAGCATAGAGTGAAGCCAACATGGACAGCTGCATTAAAATTCACAGTGAGTGCTGGAGATTGGGTCCCATGGGGGGTGTGGCTGGCTGGAGGACATATTGGACTTGGGCAGGACAAGCCTGAATCCGGAACTGTAGTGGTGTCAGTCAGCCACCCCTAGCCCAAACAGGACTGGTGGGATCTGCTTGGAATGAGTCACACCCCTGGCTGGGACCAAACAGCCAGGGATAAAACTCTGGATCCTGTGACGTCTGCACAGCACAGACTAACATGCTGAAGGTACTTGCTGATTGAATGGCTCAAAGAAGAGGAGCTGGCCCCCTCTTTGTCCCTGCGTGCACCTCATATAACAGTAAACTGGAGAAGGCAGCAAGCCCCCAGCCAGCATGCTTTAGAAAAACCATAAGCAATATGGAAAGGGCCTGAGAACTCCATCATCTGGTTTCTGAAAGAAACCAGAAATATGACAAGAGAAAGAAACAAGAAAAAGCCTCCAGCCATTGACCCAGGAAAAATAAGTCCAGGAGAGGTAAATACAGAAGAGATCCAGGGTAGCAATCATGAAATATTGGCCACAGCATCAGTGGACATAAAGAAATACCTTCTTGACCTCATAGACAAATTAAACCTGAAATTCTAATCCAAGTGAGGCAAGATATAGAAAGATTAATAAAAGAAATGCTAAGTCCCTCTCAAGAAGACATAAATGGAAGAATGGAGGAACCCAGAAAAGGAAGAGAAACCTTTGGTGAAGAATATAAACAAAATCTAAAATACATGAAACAGATTCAAAGAGATTACCAGGAAATTAAAAACTACATGCAAACCTGGCAAAATGCCTTGACAGAAATTAAAGTTAGCCTTTCAAAATTTGAAGATAGATTTGCAATGTGTGATTGTGAAAGAAAAGACCCCTTAAAAATAACAAGCAACCAGGAAGTAACAATTCAAAGGCTAGAAGATGACAAGAGGACCTATAATTTAAGAATAAAAAATGTGAGCGAAGATGCAGGAATAAACACAAATGAATTACAAAGGCTATTCACAGAAATAATTAAGGAAAACTTCCCAAGCATAGGAAAAGGAAAAGATATCAAGATAAATGAGGCATACCAAACTCCAGCCAACTACAACCAAAACAGACCTATACCCAGACATATAATAGTCAAGATACCAGAAATTCACCATAAGAACAGAACATTAAAAGTGGTCAGAGAAAAGAAACAGATTACCTATAAAGGAAAATCCATTAAAATAATGATAGACTTCTCAACACAAATTATCAACTCAAGAAGAGCTTGGAGTTAAGTAGTCCAAGCCCTGAAAGAAAATAACTTCCAACCCAGACTGATGTACCCTGAAAAACTCTCTCTCAAAATTAATGGAAAAGGGCTGGGGATTTAGCTCAGTGGCATAAGCACCTGCCTTGCAAGCAGGCAGTCGTGAGTTCGATACCCGGTACTGATAAAAAGGAAAAAGACAAAAAAAAATTAATGGAAAAACATGTTTCCATGACAAAGAGGAACCATAGGAGCTCGTGACCACCAATCCAACCTTATAAAAAATACTCAGGACATTCTAGAGAGAGATAGAAAAAAATACCAGGATTCCAGCAACAATGGCAGAGAGGCCTTAGTGAATGGGGAAGACAGTGGAATGAAGGAGAAAAGGGGACAAATAATAGCAGAAAAATAGAATAGCAGAGATGAGGCAGAGAAGGTTGGCTATAATCTCTAATACAGATGGCCTTGATACACTAACAAAAGAAACAAAGACAGAGTAGATCAGGAGATAGGGTCTATCGAGATGCTCTGAGTAGTAAATATACTCAACCTAAAAGAGAGGTAATAAACCAAAAGTTTAAGATGAGAAAACAATGCTGTATGTGACAGGGAACCAGAGAGAAATAGGGACAACTCATCCAGCAGCTGCAGATAGGTTGGAAAGTCATGACACTTTTGTGCAGTGTAGAACTTCTCAGCTATAAGGAGGGAAAACCTTGAGGCTTTAGGAGGTAAAGGAGTACAGCTCAAGATCAAGCTCAGGGGTAAAAAGGTTCAGCACCACTTAGATAGATAACGGGTTGCCCCCTAATCTAAAAACTAAAGAAGTTAATGGGACCCAAAATATACAAAGCATCCTGAGAAAGGGAAAGGGGTAGAATTGTCTGAAAAGGAAGGCAGAGGACATTTTTAATAGTGCACCAGGATCTAAAAGCCACATTAGTCTTGTCTCTCTGTTTAGTTTGATTTTATTCTGTTCCAGTCTGTTTACTCATACTAGAGTTGATGGCACAGACAGTTATCCCCCAAATAGCAGAATATACTACAGCAAATATCCTTAATTTCCTGTTAAATTAAACTGAATCCCTGTATTACTTACATTGTCTTATTATGACTGATCTTATTTGAATCTGCTTTGTTAGACCACTGTTTTGTCTTGACTGATTTTATTCGAATTTGGTATGCTTGCTAGTATCATGTCTAAGAATAGAGGCAACTACTCTGAAGATGACAGGATGCAGTAAGATACCCATCCTGGTTTGATTATTAACTGCTTTTGAAGTCCTACAATGTTTCCAATATTGTGTTTTTATTAAAATTGCTATGTAATGCTATGTTCAATTATATTATGCCTGATGGTGTAGACAATTCTATTGAAAATAACAAGAGACAGCATAGTAACTACTATAGATCACCTAGTATTTTGGTTTTATATGTCTTTTTTGTTTCATGTTTTTCTAGGAATTTGTTTTATTGTCTTGTTTTGATCTGTTTTTCCCTATAATACAGAAAGGATAGGTATACATGTAGAGATTAATAAATGTGTATGTAGAATTTCTAAACAGTTTACAAGAACAGATTATATAATGCACGATGTAATGAACAGATGCTATGAAGAAGAGACACTAAGATACCCAGTACTAATTCTGTAGCATTATGATATAAAATCTAGCAATACTATTATTCATTGTTCAAAGTGATATTAGTCTAGTCTCTTATGTTTAATTTCAACATACTGAAGGAAATGGACAGCTATTTTGAAGAGAATGAGAGACATTATGGCATCCATTGTTGACTTCCCTATTGTCTGGTCTTGAAGACCTAAAATGCCTTCATCATCCTGTTCTGATTAGTTTAGTACTATATTGTTCAGTATGTATTCACTGTGTGTGAAAATGTGGACAGCAATTTGGAAGAAAACAAGAGACAGTATGATAGACAGTTAAGATCTCCAGTGGTCTTGCTCCGAAATCTGTGTTTCTTAAAATTGTTTCCTTCTGATATATATTGTTCTGTTTAATTTTACCCTCTTTAAAATAAGAAAAAAGACACCTTAAGAATGAACTTATTTCCTTCTTGTTCTCAAATTTGAAAAGGCAGAACCGGTGCATTAGCACTGTTTAATGCAGCTTTCAGTAAGTTGGCTTAGGGAAGCAATGACCCTATTATGCTGTTCTGTTTTATTTTTAGAAATTGCCTGTGCTCTACAGGTACTGATGAATGGCATACAGATTCACCCTCACAAGCCTTTCTACGCAGTTGGTGAGAAGGTGACTCTTTCCTGCTCAGGAGGCATGTCCTTAGAAGGTCCTTCAGTATTTCTTTGTGGATCCAGTCTTAAGTGGAGCCCTGAGATGAAGAATGTTCGATGTGTGCAAAAAGGTGAGCATCACTCTAGGGTACTGGGGTCAGTTGTTAGATGGGGTGCCAGAGTTATTCATGTGGCAGACACTGACTTATGTAGGGACAGCAAAGATATCCCTGGGTATTCTGAAACTTAATTTAAATCCTCCATATCAAAGATTAGCTTTATAGATGTTAGTGTGCCAAGAAAATAAAGCTGTTTTTTGGTTTTCCCTGTAAGTTAATAATTTCTGTAAAGTTCTGTGTGTTTTAGTTCATTTTCAGAGTTTACTAATACTGAAAGCGAATCTTTAAAAATAATTTACATTTCACACTGCAAAAAATATTGAAAGAAAATATTGTAGTTTATGATGTTGTTCTTAATGGTGGAAATCCAGTATTTTAAACATTAGACAAATTAAAAAGTTTTTTTGAGAATTTAAGTTAGAAAAGGACTTAGAAGCCAAACTCTTTCTTTTTAGAGTTAGAGTTGAAATCCATGGGATGGATTTATTTCAAAATAATTTATCTCTTCTTTGTTTATGTTTTTAATAAATAGGAATATTTGTGATAAAAATAAAGAAATGTCACTTGCATGTCATTTTATATGCTATTTCTGAGGTGCAGGATTTTTAATTCAATGCTGAAATTAGTTTCTTCTTATGGGGATGAAGTACTAGATTCTGTGAGTGATATTTTAGGCAAATTAGATATTTAGCACTAACAAGACAGAGCAGACCATAGGAAGTAGGATACTGATAACAGATATGGCCTCTGGTGATGAATACAGGACAACAAAAGGATAGAATTGGAACAGGCCCAACGGAGATTTTCCATGCAGCTCTAACCTGTTTTAAACTGTTAAAATCCCATAGTATAAGACAAATGCTTTGTTTTCTATACTTGCTGAAGTACACATATGAATTTATTTGCTATGCTTAAAAGAATTCACCTGAACCTATAATTCTAAAATGAAAGAGAATGTTATACAGTTAATCAAGCTGCACTTCGTTCCGAAGGAGGTGATACTGTTGTCTTTCTGAAATGTCTACTTCAGTCATTTTGTAACATAATTTAGTATGAATTTTCTTCACTCAGTCAAAAATTCTATTAAAGTTTGTTTTATTTAGGGTGGTTTTCAGAAGACATGGATAACAATCATAACTACCCTTAAAACAACCTTATAACCAACCAACAAAATATCCCAGATTTGTCAGCCTCCAAATTTAGTGATTTAAAATATCCGCTTAGAAAGTAAATAAGGGGGCTGAGGATTTAGCTCAGTGGCATAAGAACCTGCTTTGCAAGCAGGTGGTCTTGAGTTCGATCCCCAGTACCGAAAAAAAAAAAAAAAACGTAAATAAGTAAAATACCAGATCAATAGTTTTTATTGCAATAAAATATGTGTAACATAATATTTACACTTCTAACCATTTTTAGATGTATAATTCAGTGTCATTAAACACATTCCAACACGGTATGACTATCATTACTACTCAAAACCATTTTACCTTCCTAAGTCAAAACTATACCCATTAAAAAATAATTCCTCATTTCCATGACCATATTTCATTGAGGATAGTCTTGTTGTGAGCAAAAAACACATACTCTAGGAAGGCTTTTGGCATGCATTTATTCAGTTAAATGAATTGTGACAATAAAGCGATATATATATATATATATATATATAGTCTTTTTGAGCCGGGGTCTCACTGTGCAGTTCAGGCTGGCCTTGAGCTCACTTTGTAGCCCAGGCTGGTCTCAAACTCACAACAATCCTCCTGCCTCAGCCTCCCGAGTGCTGGGATTACAGGCATGAGTCACCACGCCTGGCTTAAAGCTATATTCTTAAAAGCAAAAATTTTTCGTAATCCTAAATAGGATTTCTTTTCTTTTTGCAAAGAAATTGTGGTAACTAGCAAACATGTAAAACCTAAGCTTTTAAAGTTTACTTTAAATTTTTAATAACAAGGAAGAGCTAATTAATATGGTTTTATCATCAAACTTTAGTTTGGCTCATCTAGATTAATGTTTCTCAATCTCAGCACCATTGTTGTGAGACTCTGTTCTGTGTATTGCAGGGTACTCGTAGGCATCCATGATCTCTACCCACCAGGTGCCAGTAGACCACTCACCTATCTAGTGTTACAATGAAAAATGTCTCCAAATATTATCAAATGTGACTTTTGGGGCAACACTTCCGTGGTTGAGAAACAATGATAGAGAATATGATTTTAAAACATTTTCAAACGTGGGGATTTAGCTCAGCAGCATAAGCACCTGCCTACAAAGCATGAAAGGCAAAACATTTTTGAATAATTTTAGATTTCAAAAAATTGCAAACATAATTTCCATGCATGTGTCACCATCTTCACTTCTTGTATAACTTCACGTAACAGTTAATTGCATACTTTATCCAGTTACTGCTAACTTTCCTCATTAATGATTGAGAATCCAATTCAGGATGCTACATTGGATTTAGGATAATACTGTTTAAAACTGAAGCACTTAATATATGTAATTGTGATGGCCAAGGCAGGTTGCTACCACTTTTCTAAGTTTATATGTTGCCCATAGATTGTACTCTTAGGTCTAAATGTCTTAAATTTTCCAAAGTAAGAAAAGATTCCATAGTTCTTATAAAAAGCATAGTCTTCTGATTAACTTTATATTCAGTGAGATTCTAAATTTATGACCCAAAGAATATGCCAGTGACTTCCTTGCAAGGAAGCTGGCAGGAAGTGGAATAATTAAAGTGTTTTGAATTATTCACCTAGTTGTAGCCAAGGTGATGGGAATCAACTGTGCACTGTAAAATATATCATGATGTTTTTTCTTTCAAAAGTTGAATGCTAGCCAATTTTTTAATCTGTTTCTAGAAAACAAAGTAATGGACAGAATTTTATTAATATAAGTCATTTAGACATTTAGTCATTGTTGAAGGGAGACTACCTGACATTTACCTGTGAGAGGTTATAGGTCTCCTTGGGAAGGCAGCTATTTTTCCACACGTAAGCCATATTCCATTATAGCTCAGTGGGCAAGATGCAGTACAGACAATAAACACCAACTTCTTGAAAGAAAGGCAGCTTTACAGACCTTGAATTCAGATAAATATGAACTTAAATTCTGGCATGGTCAATTTGTTAAAGTTGTGAATTAACTGTAATTTCCTAATTGTTCTGACATTTAGTGTTCTTACCCCCTAGATGAGCATTTGTTAGTGAGGATTAATTGTAACAATATATGAAAAGTGCATGACCTGTTGTAAATGCTCCAGAAATTGTAGTTATTATCACCAGTGCAATTATCTGTAGAGTGTTCCTATAAAATACAGGAACAATTATTATTATTATTAAATACAGGAATAATAATAATTATTGTTATTTTTGCTATAGAGACTCTTTGAGAGCTTGTTTGGAGGTTCTAGCAGGGAAGTGTAACTACTTGTATACCTTTGACCTGGGAACAATCCTCCTCTTTTGGGGACTGGTTGTTCTCTTCCACCAAGCATCCAGCTTTGGGAAGAACTCATGTGGATCAATGAGGGAGGAAGGGGACACATGCCTAGTCAGTCAGATTAGCCAAATCAACCCTGGAGGTCAGTGGGGTGACAGATGCTACAGCCAGATCACCCTCATATCCTATAGAGACTCTTTGCAATTGAAAACATTATAGACCTAGGTTAAAAAATTAAAACATTATCTATTTATTATGAAGAACGAATGCCTCCTTCAATGATTGGATCTCCCTTGTGATTTTCTTTTAGATGTTCCCTTAACACAGGCAGCACCTGAATGTCAGCTCTGGGAGAAAGTGCAGAGTTCAAGATGTGTTTGTAAAATGCCCTATGAATGTGGGTAAGTGATGTTTCTGTTCACTTTTATGTTTTATTTTATTCAGGAGGAGAGAATGATTTCTAAGATGCTAGCGTCTATTGAATTGAAGGTACAGCTTGCCTACCACTAAGGGTCTTTACATTTTAATCAGATACATCTGCCGCCTGCTACTTCTATGGGTCACCAGGCTGATGGCTACGTATTAAGCAGTGTCCTAATCTGGCTAGCCTGAAAGGTTAAGACTACTTGAGCATTGCTTTTTCTGCATATAAAACGTAGTGAATTGACAAAATTTTCATTCAAGGTTTTAGAGCTGTAGAGGATTGGACTAAAATTTTCACAGAACCTGAATTCTTAAAGCAATACTGGTGGAGAAAAGAGCAGCCACTTTTCTGATTTTTATATTGTTCTTTAGGAAACATGTCACTAACTTGAAAGCACTCCATTATAGGACTTCTTTGAAGTGGCTTCTAGATGTCTGCATCATAATTTTAGTTAGATACAGATGGCACAATTAGAATATGTCAAGAAGTTTGACAGCAAGGTTCTTCATAAAGTATGGGAAGAATAGAAGAAGCTATGAATCTTAGGGCAGTGTCTTTGAGATGTTAACAGCTGGGCCACATGTTGCCACAAAGGCCTACAAGTTGGAGAATAGGGGTATTTATGAAACTCCAGACAGAGGTCCACATAAAGATGACCTCTGAAGGGCTGCTGACTCTCGTTTTAGGGATCTCAGAGATAATCATGAGAGTGAGACAGGGGAGTAAATGCCCAACTGTACTCTCTCCGTGCCTTCCATCTCCCACTGATGCTTCCCATTGATAAAATCCACCTGAAGCCAGAGGGTCAGGGAGTAATGATGTGGTCCTTTATGTGCTGCCCTCCCAGGTGATGGGGAAGTGTGGAGGATGGTCTAGCAAGAAACGAGAGATATCAGCCCCAGACCTATGGGCCATGGTTCAGATTAAGACTAAAAACACTGATTTACTAATTACTTGGCTTTCATTTACTATGATCATCAAAAACCATGTTTAACTTCTTAACCTTCAGTGGGTAATACTGAATATATGTATATATGCAGTATATATATATATAGTTTTCAGTACACTGAATTACTTTCCTCTCTTTCCAACTTTCTCAATTTCTGTAGTTTATACACAGCCCATTATTTATAGACATGGTGTGAGTTTTCATACCATTTCATGGTAATGGATGCTGAAAACAAGGTGGCATTATAGGTCTCTGCCCACTCAGTTATTCTGAGTAGTTCTATTTAGAGTTTAAATAAACATAGCAAAAAATATATATACAATAAAAATGTTTTTGTTATGTAAGTAATTCTAAGTAAAATTAGCTCTCTGTCAAAGAGGAAAATAGAGCTAAATAAAACATATGAGTGTAGAATTTCTCTGACCTCATCAGATATACAAAAAATGCTTTGTGGTCTTGAGTTTTTCCTTAAAATAAAGCCTTTATTATTCATCAACACCCAAAAATGTGTTTTTTATTAATCATAATTCTAAATAGCTATATCTCACCATTCTATCACTAATGCTTAACAGAAAAGATAGCACATTTCATGGAAATATTTCTGAAGTACTTTGCAAACATAGACACTTTAAAAATAGCATTGAAAAACACAGTTTCATCTTCCTTTGGTGATTTATGTCATTAATTATGGATGACACTGTATAATAGACGTGAATTCTCAGGGCTTTGGGGCTGGGAGGGGCTAACTTTTGCTGTGGTCAGTAGTTTCATTTGGCTTTGTAAAAGATAAAGTGTTGATAGTTGTGACTATATCTTCTAATTTATTCCATTCATCTTTAGGTCTGTTTTCCAGTACCATGCTGATTTTATCACAGTAGCTTTGTAGTATAATTGCAAATCAGGGATTGAGATGGCTCTTGCCTTGCCTTTGATGCCCAGAATTGCTTTTGCTATTTTAGGTCTCTTCTGGTTACAGATGAATTTTAGGAATCATTTCTCTAGATTTGTGAGATATGCTAGTGGTATTTTGATTGGAATTGCACTAAATCTGTATAACAATTTGGGAGAATAGCCATTTTCACAATGTTTGTTCTTCCTATCCATGAACAAGAAGTGTTTTTCCATTTTCTGAGATCTTCTTTGATTTCTTTTTTCAGAATACTGTAATTTTCACTGAATAGGTCTTTTATTTCCTTTGTTGTGTGGATTCTTTTTTTTTTTTTTTTAGTACTGGGGATTGAATTCATGACCTTGCACTTGCCAGGCAGGCGCCTTACGCTGTTGAGCTAAATCCCCAGCCCTGTTGTGTTAATTAAGTGTTCCATTTTTTTGGGACGCTATTGTGAGGGGTGTGGTTCTTCTCTCCTCTCAGTGAGTTTTTTGTTTGTAGAGGGGAATGCTATTGATTTGTGAGTGCTGACATATCCAGCTACATTACTGAATTTGGCTATTACATCTAGAAATCTTTCAATGGAGTTTGGGAAGTCTCCTATGTAGAGTATCATGTCATCTGCAAATAATGATAGTTTAACTGCTTCTTTTTTATATTTATTTCTTTTATTTTTCTCTCTTATCTAATTGTTCTGGCTAATATTTCCAGTACTATATTGAATAGGAGTGGTGCTAATGGACAGCCTTGACTTGTTCCTGATTTTGAGTGAAAGCTTTTGGTTTTTGACCATTTAATAGGATGCTGGCTGTTGGTTTGTTATAGATAGCTTTTATCAGATTGAGGTAGAGAATGTGTATTCTGATTTTCCATAGGGCTCTTAACATGAATGAGTATTGGACTTTATCAAAAGCTTTTTATGCATCTATTGAAAGGATCATGTCATTCTTATCTTTAGTTCTATTAATATGATGTATTACATTTATTGATTTGCATATGTTGAACTATCCCTGAATTCCTGGGATGAATCTCACTTAGTCATTGTGTATGATCTTGCTGACTTGCTGACTACTGTTTCCAGGATTACTGAGGACTTTTTGCATCCACATTATATAGGGAGATTGGCCTATAGTTGTCTTTTTTGATTGAGTATTTCTCTGGTTTTGGTATTAGGAGGTTGTTGGCTTCCAGGAATGAGTTAGGAATAAATTGCTTCCCTTTCAACTTCATTGGAGAGTTTAGGACTGTTGGCATTAAGTCTCCCCTGAATTTCTTGTATAATTCAGCTGTAAATCCATCTGGGCTTTTCTTTGTTGGTAGGATTCTAATTACATTTTCAATTTCATTAACTGAAATTGGATTACTCAGCAGTTTTACATCTTCTTGATCCAGCTTTGTAATTCATATGTTTCTAGGAATCTGTCCATTTCTTCTGTGTTATCGAATGTATGAGAGTAAAGTTTTTCAAAGTAGGTATTGATGATCCTCTATATTTTCACAAGGTCTGTGGTGATTTCAACCTTTCTATTCCTTATTGCATGAATTTGAGTTTTCTCTCTCCTTTTAAAAATAAGATTGGCTAGTGGCTTATCAATTTTACTTATTCTTTCAAAGAACCAATTCTTTGATTTATTAATTATTTGTGTTATTTTCTTTGTCTCTATTATACTGATTTCTGCTCCAACCTTTATAATTTCCTCCTTTCTTTTGGCTTTGGGCTAGACTTGCTCTTCTCTTTCTAGATGTTTGAAGTGTACCATCAGGTTATTTATTTGTGTTTGTTCGGTATTCCTGATGTGTGAATTCACCACAATAAATTTTCCTCTGAGGACTGCTTTCATTGCATCTCACAGGTTCTGGTAAGTTGTATTTGTATTTGTATTTGTATTTTCTTGTAGATATTAATTTCTTCTGTGATCCATTGATTGTTCAGGAGTATATTATTTAGTTTCTATATGTTTATGGCATTTTTGCAGTTTCATTTGTCATTAATTTCCAGTTTTATAGCACTGTGATCAGATCATATGTATGGGATAATATCAATTCTTTTGCACTTACTTTAGCATGCTCTATGGGCTAGTATATGATCTATTTTAGAGAATGTTTCATGAAACTGAGCAGAATGTATAGTTTGTTGTTGTTGGGTGAAATACTATGTACGCATCTATTAAGTCAATTTGTTCATAAGTTTGATTAAGTTCCTTTATTTCTTTGCTGATTTCCTGCCTCATTGATCTGTCTCTTTGTGTCAATGGGGTATTAAGTTCTCCCATTATACTTGTATTATTGCTTATTTGAATTTTCATTTCTGTTAATATTTGTTTTTTATAGCTGGGTGCTCCCATATTTGGTGTATATATATTTAAGATTGTTACATATTCCTCTTGAAGTTTTCCTCTAACCAACATGTATGTAGTGACCTTCTTTATCTCTTTTGATCATTTTTGGTTTGAAGTTCACATTGTCTGCAAACAAAATAGCTACCCCTGCTTTTTGGGGGGTTTGTGTTGCATGAAGTATTTTTTTCCATCATTTGAATTTCAGTCCATGAATTTCCATTTGTATTAGATGGGTTTCTTGTATACAGCATATGGTTGGATGTTGTTTCTTTCTTTTTTTTTTTTTTTTTTTTTTTTTTTGGTGCTGGGGATTGAACTCATTATCTGGCACCTGCCAGGCAGGCCCTTGTGCCACTGAGAGAAATCAACAGCCCCTGGATGTTGTCTCTTGATCAATTCTGCAGTCTGTTTCTTTTAATTGGTGAATTGAGGTCATTTCCATTAATGGTTATAACTGATACATATATTGGCTTATTTTTGTCATGTTATTTTCTACTGTTGATTCTTTACCTTTTTCCACTGTTAAATCGTTTGCACTGCTTGGTGCAAACAAACTGTTCTTGAAGTCAAAGGTATCTAGAATATCTTTTAGTGTTCTTTGCATGGTTAGTTTAATGGTCATGAAGTTCTTATATGGAATTATGTTTTTTCTCTATTGATTCTGGAGATCAGTTTTGCAGGGTACCTCAATCTGAGTTGGAAGTCATTTTCCTTTAGGATTTGAAATACTTCATCCTATGCTCTTCTTGATTTCATTGTTTGTGTTGAGAAGTCTGCTGTGATTCTGATGGACTTTTCTGTACAGTTGATTTGTTTCTTTTCTTTAACAGCTTTTAATATTTTGTTCTTATGTTGAATTTCTGGAATGTTGATTGTTATATGTCTGGGTGTAGATTTATTTTGGTTATGGCTATTGGAATTCTATATGCTTCACTTATCTGTATATCAGTTTCCTTTCTCATGTTTGGGAAATTTTCAGATATTACTTCTGTAAATAGTCTTTTGATATCATTTGCATTGTCACTTTCTTTTTTCAGTTATATCTCCTGTACTGTTTTTTGTTGCATCATTTTACAACTGTTGAATTGTTATTTCCTGATTCCTTGTTAGTTTTAAAGGATCTTTCCTTCCCTGTTCACTAGCTGCAATCTTGTCTTTGAGGTCTGAAAGTCTATCTTTCAATTCATTGAGGCAGTTTTCCCAGCTTGGAATTTTTGATTTCCTGGATATCTCTTTGAATCTGTTTCATGCATTCTAGTTCTTTCTTGTATTGTTCATTCAATCATTTTGCCATGTTCCTCTATGTTTTATTTAGATGTGTTCAGTGTTTCTTTCATTATGTTTATTCTGGGAGATTTACCTGGGAGATTATTTCTGATCTGAGTTCCTTTTTAGCTTCATGGAGCTGTTTGCTTACTTCAGTTGCTATCATTTTAGAAGTCTGAGGTGTATGGCTTAAGTTTTCTTCTATGTCCATGTCTTCTAGACTTGTTTGGGATGAGCTGGAGGTTTGTAATTGGATTTTTCTCTTTCATTTTGTCATTTTCTTGTGTTCCCCTTAGGCAGTTGGATGCTGGCATGGTTTATGTCTGTGTCCCCCAGACCTCTTGAGTTTGAATTGTGCATTTGTTATTCATTCATTGTATAGTGCTTGGATTGATGGTGTTAGTGCTACACCCACTTATGGGTGGAGCTAGGGTGTGATGTAATGGCAGGAAGAAGCTGTGTCTTGCTCTCTTTGCTGGTTCCGGCTTGCTGATTGCAGCCGCCATGAACTGCGGCCCAGCCATGCCCACCCGCCTGGGAGCCATCTGAGTGTGGACTGAAACCTCCAAAAACTATAAGAAATAAACCTTTCCTTTCCCAACTTGGGCATCAGATATTTTGTCTCAGTGACGAGCATAAAATAACTAAGACAGAATTTGGTATTGAGGAGTAGGGTCATTTGCTGTGACTATATCTGACCATGTTTTTTGAGAGGCTTTGGAAATGGCTGTTGGACAGAATTTGGAAAGGTTTGGACATGTCGCCTGGATGCATAGAGCTGGAGCAGCTTAGGCTGTTCTGTAGAGGAGATTCTGGTCAGAGCTCAGGAGACCAGAAGGCTGATAGAAAGCATCATGGTAAAGACCAGGCTTGGGAGGTTTCTGCTGGGAAGAAGGATTGCATTGGTTGTTGGACTCCACATGATGTGTGTTATGGCTTGGCAGAAAGTTTCTCTGCATGTTGCTCCTGCCCAGAGACTTTGCCTGAGACTGAGACAAAGGGCAATGGACTGATTAATCTTGAAGAGGAAACTAAAAAGCAATCAAACATTGAGGCTGTGGCATGGCTATTATTGGGGGCTTTCAGCCAGCTATGTGTTTCAAATCAAGGGCCAGTAAAATAATTTAAAACAGAAATTGGTACCAGCGGAGTGGGGTCATTGCTGTTATATTGCCTGGCCATGTGATTTAAGAGCTTTGGAAATTAATTTGGAAAATATTTGAGAGACTGGCCAAAGAGACAGCTTTTGTGTGCTATATTATTTTGGAGACTGGTTGGAACCTGAAAGATCGGAGTACTGATGGAGATGCTGCCAATTAAGATGAAGCTTGGGAGGCTTCTGTTGGGAAAGACTGCAATGTCTGCTGGAGTCCAGGTAGTATATTGTGCTTTGGCTGAAAGTTGGTCTTATTTGTATTTAGAGATATTACCTGGGTGGCAGAAAAATTTCAGTGCAGTCTACTTTTGGGATGGTAACATAGTTACTTTAGAGAACTTTTGACCAGATCTATTTTGAAATTTAGAGCAAAGCACCAGTAGAGTAATTTAAAACACTTGGCCAAGAAGAAGGTTCCATTGGAACTGTGGGTTGTAAAGATTAAACAGAGGGCCGATCGAAAGGGAGTCGAGTTCAGATCCCCGAATCCAGAGTGGTGGAGATGGTCGCCATGAGGCGTCCAGTGCGGTAACGCGACCGATCCTGGAGAAGCCAGTGGGAGCCCCGGTCAGAGTTCTCTTTTCTTTGTGAAGGGCAGGGTGCCCTGGAATGGGTTTGCCCTGAGATAGGGGCCCGTGCCTTGGAAAGCATCGCGGTTCCAGCGGCGTCCGGTGAGCTCTCGCTGGCCCTTGAAAATCCAGGGTAGAGGGTTGAGGCGTTAAGGAGGCATTATGGACTCTCCTACGAGTTGCTGTCTGAGCTGTTGGTTCTCCTGGAGAAGCTTTGGTCTTCACATCGAGCATTGCATCCTGGCTCTGGAGGGGAAGATATGTGCTGCCTGGTCTCTAGGATGAACTCATCACGCTGGTTCTTGGCATGTACCAACTGTGCTTGTTGTCAGAGGAGCTCGGGACCATGTCGCTGAGGACAGCTGTGGTGCCTTTCAGGACAGCCTTGCTCTTTGTTGTGAGTGTGACTTCTCGGCTCCAGTGTAGAACCCTCATCCCAATAGCACAGCTCCTTCATCCTACTGGCATAGACTTTCTGGCTTCCACTGCTGACCCTTGGGTCTTCCTGGCATGGATCTGTAAAAGAGACTGGTGTGAGTCCTTTTTTGGGGCTCTGGACTTCCAGTTGGACTTGTGGAGGCATTGTCCTGGGCTCTGGGTTTTTATTTGGACTCATGTGGGACATTGCCGTGGGGTTTAGGCTCTTGACTAAATAATCTATGTCTTTGGTGTTGTGGATAGATTTCCTGCATTCTCCTGTGTTAACTTCCAGTGATCATTATAAAAATATTGTATACTCCATGTCCTAATCCTAGTTGTTCTCTGTGTACAACCCCTAACTACAACAGATGCAAAGTGTCAATTGTTTCTTGGATTGAAGACAGCTGTCTGTCCTTCAAGGAGTTTCCCCAGCTGAGTGGGGAATGTTAGGAAGTCCTTACCAGGTCCCTAGTGACACTCAAAGGCTTCCCAAATGGGATGTGTGTGTCCTAGGTAGACCTTCAGCACATCCCACATGGCTCACCAAAGCTCTCTAGCTGCTTGAGGTCATTGGGCTGGGCCCTACCAGGTTCTGTGTGATGTACTAAGGCTGAATAGTAGACGGAGTACACTGAGCAGGGCTTCAGCTCACGTCATGTGGTGCACCAAAGTTCCCTGGCTTCTTGGGATCACTGGGCAGCACTCATTCAGGTTGTGAGCAAGGTCCTGGGGCTGCACAGCTATGTAGAGTTTTCTGTGGGACTTTCTGGTCGTGTCGCTTGACACATGGCAGCTTTTGGCTACTGGGGTGGGGCCCAACCAGGACCCCAGTGATGACCCAAAGGTCCCAGTCTGTTTGGGGACATGGAGTGGGGCCCTACCACATTCTGAGCAAAGTCCTGTTGCTGCACAGCTAGGCAGGGATTGCTGTGGAGGTCTTCAGGTCACACCATTCAACAGGCAAATGGGATCTGTGCTTGCAAAAACTATGAAAACACAAGGAGTAAATGTGTTCATTTTGAAGATCTGAGAGGATTATGCCTGAGGAATGAAGATTTGTGTTGTTGTTCCATATTTTTTGGTGGGTGATAATGTATGGGTTAATGGTCTCAAAGGCTCACTTTTCACTTCTAAACTTTCAAGAGCAAAAATCTTGTAAATAATGTAATTAAACATTCTTTTCAGATCTTCCTTGGATGTGTGTGCTCAAGATGAGAGAAGCAAAAGGATAGTGCCTCTGACAGTTTGCAAGATGCATGTTCTCCACTGTCGGGGTAGAAATTACACTCTTGCTGGCAGGGACAGCTGTTCTCTGCCTGTGTTGGCCCAGAAAACTTGTGGTGCATGTTCACTTTGGGAAAAATGTGATGGTAAGGAGAATTTCACATTTGTAGTTATAATAATACTAACATTCCTGAGGTTTTAAACTATCTAGTTTTTAGTTAACCAGTAGATCAAAACAGATACTTGAGTATGTCAAAGGCTTAGACTGATTTTGCCATGATCCTTCTCTCTCCGCTCTCCTCCATGGAAAGAGCCATGAATCAGATACCTAAAAGAACAAGAATTCATCCCTACTAGTCTTTTGTTTTCTCAATCCTTGGTAACTCCTGAGCTACCTTCTAACTTTTGCTCTCTCTTTGTGTTATCCATATCATTTACTCATTTCAAAAAAAACATACAAAAAAACTTTTAAAAACAGATACTTTAAATTACATCCTTAAAAGGAAGTATCATCATAAATATTTAGTAATTAGAAAAAACACATAGTGTAGCATAATAAAGCTGTACATTCTACCCATCTATTGATCTAAGATTGACAGTATTTTCCCTTTGTGAAAAGGGCATTTAAGTAAGAGAGAGTTGTCAGAAACGTACTAGTGCCAAGCTGACACTTTCTCCTGGAAGTAATCAGAAAGATTTGGGAAAAAAGGAGTTTCTTTCTTGATTTGTGATGCAATATTTACTAAGGTTATGTACAAGTAGTACTTACTGTAGCACTTACTACAAGCACATGGCACCCTGCCCATGGTTTGGACAAACCTATGAATGTGAAAGGGTTGGGGTGCTGAGTCATCTTTGTCCTGGGTTTTTCTGTCAGTATGGGAACTGGATTGTATCATCATAAGGTCTTTGTTAGCTCTCTGCTGCCTTCTCATCCTGGACTACCCCTGGGCACTTTTTCCCTCATGTCCTTACATTTGGGTCATTTGTGGCTGGTGACTCTATTATCTGCTGAAAGACCTTGTTATTTCCCTTTGGCAGACTCCCAACAGGTATATTCCTGCTATGCTCCCTTTCCATATAACCCAGTTTCTTCCCCAAATCAGTTCTGTTTTGTTTTCATAGAATATGTAGGCTTTGTATGCCTTGTCTTCTCCTCAGAGAATTTAATTCATTTCATCCTTGACACTCTGTGCTTGGCTGAAGTATTCCTTTTGTTCTGGTCCTGTGTGTGTGTGTGTGTGTGTGTGTGTGTGTGTGTGTGTGTGTGTTACTTTTTATTGATGATTCACATGAATGTTGGTATGAGTGAGGAGAGAGCTGGAGAGTTCTTGACTTGGAGAGAACTGCATCACATGGGCCCAACAGAGAGGAAATTTATTCTGAGTAGAGCAAATGTCACAATTTCCTGGTCCTAACTGCTTTTCAGGGCGACGGTTTATTGTACCACTCAAGGCAGGAGCAATGTAATCACCACGACATTACTTTAGAGGTAATGTGTTTTGAGTCACCCACCTCCGTGATGTACTATTAAGCCTCTCTTGCTTACTTTTCCAGCCCAAAGCAACAGATGTGTCTGCCGACAAGCATCAGAGTGCCAGGAACAAGGGATCAACATCTGCATGGAAGTGAACGGCGAGGAACAGACGATGTCTGAGTGTGAGGCAGGCGTCCTGAGGTGCAGAGGGCAGAGCATCTCTGTTACCAGTGTAGAGGCCTGTGCTGCAGATCCCCAGTAGGCTGCTGACGGCTCAGTCATGTTGTTTGGAATCCAGCAGGTGCTAGCTGAGTGAAAAAGTCTATACAACTGGCACTTAGACCAGGTTTCCAGCACAAATAAACATTGTTTCTCTTTCTCCTTCCTCTCCAGTATACACTTCCCTCTCAACTGTAAGCCACCCCTGTAAACAAGTCCTTTGTTCCCCCAAACTTGAATCAGATATTCTTTTTTCTTCTTTTTTTAAATTTAGAAGACAATATTCACTCACCACTGCAAGAGCTAGCTATGTATTCTTGGAAAAGCTCTCTGGACTTTGGCTTTTTTGTCTGTAAAATTAGAAGATTAGACTAGAAACACCTGCATGCTTTATTCATCCTTATGATTCTATTAAGTGTGAGTGACCCAGCCCAGGCGCCAGAATAAACTCCACAAAATTGATCAGGAAAACAGAAAGAATACAATTTCCTCATTAGAGAGATTGGTTTCCCTTAATGAAATCAAAGAGAACCTTTAATGATAAAAAGACAGATACAATCATTTCTACCCTGGGCGGTAATGTCATGCTTTGCCCTGCAGAGTCCTCTGCTGCGAGATCTCTATTCTTGTCAGCAGACTAAGAAACTTCACTGTCAGAGCAGAATCTATTGCGCTAAGGTCACAGGGTGCCTTCTGCCTCCTTGTCTGAGAACACACATAAATCAGTTTTCTCCTGGGGGCTCTTCTCTAGTTAGTATGTTTCAAACATAAGACCTACAATCACCACTCCTCACCTCTTTTAAGATGAATATTAGTTCATGTCTGGTCTACTGAATAATGACTATTTGAGAACAGCCTTACTTAATACGGATATACTCGTAGATTTTTCTGTAAGTATATAGTTTGGTCTTCTTTTTATTCTTTGTTCTTTTACCAAAACAAAAAAGCAGCTACAGGAGGTAAAATGAAAAGGCTTAACTAGAATTTAAAATATGTTTTTATATATAAGTGCTATCCCTATAATTTTATGTTAGTAAATATGTTTAAAAACATTTTTTCTAAGATGATAAGGATTAGCAAACTCATTAAAGATATTATGTATTAGAATGTTTGATTTGTATATTTGATATTAGAAAATATTCTATGAATATCCTAAGAATATAAGGTGTTTTTGCCTGAGGTTTTATGCCTGAACCAGATTTAACTTTTGTTTAATTTTTATTTTTTATTTTAAAGATGGTAAAATTAAATGTAACAAAACACATGATAAGAAAACAATTTAAGAAACACAGATTTCAAAGCAAGACCACCGGAGATCTTCACTGTCTATCATATTGTCTCTTGTTTTCTTTCAAATAGTTGTCCATATCTTCACACACAGTGAATTCATACAAAACAAAATAGTATTAAACTGGTTAGAACGGTGTGATGAAGGCATTTTAGGTCTCATGACTAGACAATAGGGAAGTCAACAATGGGTGCCATCGTGTCTCTTGTTCTCTGTCCATACCTTTATGTATGTTGCAATTAAACAAAACAAAACAGACTAATATCACTCTAAACAAGGAATAATAGTATTGCTGTATTTTATATCAGGATGCTACAGAATTAGCACTGGTACCTTAGTGTCTCTTTTTCTTCAAAGTAGCTGTTCATTTCATAATGCATTATATTATCAATTCTCATAAACTTTTTAGAAGTTCTACCCATGCATGAGTCTCTACATGTATACCTGTCCTTTCTATATTAGAAAAACAAATCAGAACAAGACAAAACAAAACAAAACAAATTCCTAGAAACACATGAAACAAAAAAGACATATAAAACCACAATACTAGGTTATCTACAGTAGTTACTATAATGTCTATTATTTTCAATAGAATCATCTATATCATCAGGCGTAGTATAATTGAACATAGCAGTACATAGAAATATTAATAAAAACAAAACATTGGAAATGTTATGGGACTTCAAAAGCAGTTAATAATCAAACCAGAGTGGGTATCCTATTGAATCTTGTCACCTTCAGAGTAGTTGCCTCTACTCTCAGACTTGATACTATCAAGCATATCAAATTCAAAGAAAATCAGCCAAGATGAAACAGGGATCTAAAAAACCAGATTCAAATAAGATCAGTTATGGTACGACAGTGTAAGTAACACAGGGTTTCAGATTAAGGTAATAGTAAATTAAGGATAGTTACCATTATATATCTTGCTATTTTCTGGGATAGCTGTCTGTGCCTGCAAATCTAGTACAAGTAGACAAACTGAAACAGAATAAAATCAAACTAAACAGAACAGTATGAATAATGTGGCTTTTAAATACTGATACACTATTAACAATGTCTTCTGCCTTCCTTTTTTTTTTCTTTAGACAGTTCCTCCCCTTTCCCTTTCACAAGGTTCTTTGTACATTTTGGGTCCCACTAACTCCTCTGATTTTTAGATTAGGGGCACAACCTGCTATCTGCCTAAGTGGTTCTGAACTTTTTTCCCTTAAGCTTGATCTTGAGTTGTATTCCTTTACCTACTAAAGCCTCAAGGTTTTCCTTCTTTATAGCTGAGTAGTTCTCCACCACACAAAAGTGTCATGACTTTGCAACCTATCTGCAACTCCGGGATGAGCTGTCCCTATTTCTCTCTGGTTCCCTGTCAAATAGAGCATTGTTTTCTCATCTTTGACTTTCAGTTCACAGACTCTCTTTCTGGTTCATTATATTTCCTATACAGAGCATCTTTATGGACCCTATCTCCTGATCTACTCTGCCTGTGCTTCTTTTTGTTAGTGTATCAAGGCCATCTGCATTAGAGATTATAGCCAATACTCTCTGCCTCATCTCTGCTATGCTGTATTTTTGCTGTTGGTTGTGTACTTTTCTCCTTCATTCCACTGTCTGCCCCATTCATTGAGCTTTTAACATTCTGTTCTTGTATTGAATTTCTGGGATCCTGCTTATCACCTGTCTGGGTGTAGCTCTGTTTTGGCTGTAGCTGGCTGGAGTTCTGTATACCTCATATATCTGAATATTGTTTCCTTTTTCTATGCGTGGGATGTTTTCCTTAGTTATTTCTGTGAAAAGGATTTGTATTTTATTTGTGTTTACCCCTGCTTATTTGCTCATGATTTTTATTCTTAAGTTACAGATCCTCTTGTTATCTTCTAGCTTTTGTATTGTTACTTCCTGGTTCCTCGTTATTTTTAAGAGATCTTTCCTTTCACAATCACACATTGCAAACCTGTCTTCAAGTTTTGAAAGTCTAACTTTAGTTTCTGTCAATCAATTTTGCTAGCTTACAATGAAGTTTTTAATTTTCTGGTAATCTCTTTGAATCTGTTTCATGTGTTCTGGATTGTTAAATATTTTTCATTGAAGGTTTCTTTTCTGGGTTCCTCCATTCTTCCATCTGTGTCTCCTTAAGAGGTGCTTAGCATAGTGTTTCTTTTATTAATCTTCTTATATCTTGCTTTACTTGAATTAATATTTCAGTTTTAAGTTCATCTACGAGGTCACGAAGATACTTCTTTTTTTTTGAAGATATTTATGTCAGCTGATGCTGTATCCAATATTGTATGTTTGTTGCCCTCAGTCTCTTCTATATTTACCTCTCCTGGACTTATATTCCCTGGGTTAGCTGCTGGAGGCTTTTTCTTATTTCTTTCTCTTGTCATGTTTCTGCTTTCTTTCAGATAGGTGTATGGTGGAGGTCTCAGGCCCTTTCTGTATTGCTTATGTTTTTTTCTGAAGCATACTGGCTAGGGGATTGCTGCCCTCTCCAGTTTGCTGTTGATCAGTGAGGTGCACGCAGGGGCAGTGTGGGCTGGCCCCTCCCCTCCAAGCCAGTCAACCAGTGAGTGCCTTCACCACATTATTCTGTGCCATGCAGAGTAACCAGTTCAGTACAATTTCGTCTGAGTCCCAACCAGGAGCGTGACCCAGCCCAAGCAGATCCCACCAGTCCGCTTTGGGCCAGGAGCAGTTGACAGACGCCACTGCAGTTCCAGGTTCAGGAACTCCCATATGTCATCCAGCCAGTCACTCCCTCCCACAGGACCAAATTCCAAGCACTCACCACAAGTCAGTGCAGCTCTCCATGCCAGTTGCATTCTCTGTTGCAGCCCATCCTCCTGCCAAGGGCTCACCAATCCCAATTTCAGTGTGACTGTGACTTCAGCGTGACTGCGAGTCATCTGATTTCAAAGAGCCCAGTACAGTGTGGGACCGGCTCCAGTGAGAGCGTGTCTGGCTCCAGCCTTCCATCTACCTTTTCTCTTTCTTTCTTTCCTTTTTCTTTTTCCTCAGTTTCTTCCTGGGTCGTGAGAATCCCTCTCCTTTCATCTATTCTTCTCCATGATGTTAATTAAATTCTAGCATCTGCGTTTCTCTCAGAGAGATGCTCTACCCTGCTACCTATCAATCTGCCATTTCCCCAGGATCCCCCAGATTTAACTTCTTGTTCCAAAGTAACTTTTGAGGAAAGATGAAGATGTAATAGGTGTAAATTACAGGGAGGCAGGTTTTAATTGATTGAAAACAATATTTAGATTTTCAGCTGTATTTTTTATGGTTACGATGGAGTTAACCCCTCCTTGGGCTGGGGGATATGGATGTAAGCTTTGAGATCCAGGCTAAATAAGGAATTCGTATGAAAGGTGCCACTTTAGTGTCCTTCCAGTTAACTTAGGGTATTACGGAGTTAGATGTCTGCTGATTATGTATCATCACCTGCACTTCTTAACTAAGACAGAGAATATGGTCAATGTTATCAAATTTTGTCAGAGATTGAGAATCATCTCTCATGTGAAAATCTGAAATCTGAAATGCTCCAAAGCCTGAAGCTGTTTGAGTGCTGACATGATGTCACAAATGAAAAATATCACGTCTGGCCTTCTATGATGGATCGCAGTAAAAATAAAGATGCACTAAAACTATTGTATATAATAGGCAATGTATCTTAGGGTAATGAAATATAAATGGATTTTGTGTTTAGTCTTAGGCCTCAGCCCCCCAATATTGGATTATCATTATGCAAATATTCTAAAATGAAAGATATTCTGAAATTAGAACCTTTTCTGGTCACAAGCAGTTTGGATAAACAATTTCAACCTATGCCAAGTTTAACAACTAATATTCTATAAAAAATTTCAGCAAAGCTACTGAAGCTGAAATAAAAGGCTGATGAATCAATGGAGGAAGGAAGAAGTAAATGTCCTTGTAGAGACATATTACATTGAAATACTGAATTTTGTCCCTCATTTTCTTTTCTAAATTTCCTTATACACATTGATCTCTCCTTAAGCCAAACAGGTACATCCACAATTATTTAAAGAGAACTAGGATTCTTGCAGTAGGTCTGTAAAGAGAAGTTTACTTTCAACACTGACTCTATAAAAATGTTTTTCAAATCTACAAAATAAACTTCAAAGAAAACGGGTGCATGAGAATTCCCTTTTTCCCTTTGCCTGTCTTTCCTTATGTTTTATCCCAGGTGATGGTCACATGAAATAGAATGGGATATAGCCAAGGAGAAGCCTGAAAGCAGTGCTGGTCCAGGTCATCTGGACCTAGGAGATAAAGGAGGGGAGGAGTAAGAAATTGTCAGTTGTGTTAACCATCACTAGTTTCAGGGAGCTACACAGAATCCAAGTCATATCTTACAGACCTTTCTTACCTTCTATGTGGAGACTACAAGGTGCTTGATTGAGAGGGTGCCTTGGAAGATTTCCCAACGTCTTCCTGTGCATCTTGCACATTTTAGTAATCAACAAAGTGTTAGTTAGCAATTCCTTGAGGTTTAATGAGTCTTATCCAAACTGATTTTCATGTGCCCATGCCTTGTCAGGGTACTTTGAAGCAGAAGAGAGTTATTGCTATTCATGTGGGGTACAGAGTGGCAAGCAGGGACATCTGACAAGTGGCACCAGGACTCCAGCTTATCTGATGAAATATCTCAATGATTGAATGAGTGCTCCATGCTTAGCTGGGAAGATCATGGCTAATGTCATGTTCATGTAAGAAGCCCGTTCACATGTTGAGTAGACACTCAGTTACAGGTGCTGCTCTATACAGCATTCTCTGAAACAGTTTATGACTTCACACATAAATC